AAGTGACCGAGGTGCATTCATTTTCTATTTTGTTTTCACTCATGAATATCCTACTTTTAAAAAAAATGTTTTCTCTTCGTTGCTGTTTCTAACAAGTTCCCGTGCTTTTACTGTCAATATGTTCGTGAACTTTATGCGGTCACTCAAACCGCAACACTAACATCCTCATTCTGAGCCACAAACATTCTCCATCATCTCTGTTTGAAATATCTTTCTTCTGTTCCACTCTAAACTTTGAATCCACTCATCTATATATTTTTTAAATTTGTTTTCAGTAGTAGGTTCTTAATAAGACAGTCTCCTTGAAAGTGCTCATATAAAGTTTGTCAGATTTGAATGTCATGTCATCATGCATCGAAATGGGAATGAATTGCTTATAAACTTCAAGTTATTACTAATTGGAGATAGTGGAGTTGGGAAATCAAGGTTAGTACCAATATCATACGACTTTTTCAATTTTTATAGCTTGTTAATGCGTTATACTAATGATTGTTTTGAAAGTCAGCTATCTGCAACTATCGGTAAGTTTATGTAAAAGTAATTTGTATGTATTTATCATTTTAGGCGTTGATTTCAAAGTCAAACTTGTTACGGTCCCTGATGGAACAAAGATTAAGCTCTCTATATGGGTGAGTGATCTGACTTTCCTACCCCAAACTTTTACTTATATAGACTTGTAATCAATTTTAAACCTGTGTTAATAAGTGAGCTTTTTTCACATAACCGCATACTCTCCAAATCGTCAGTCACCTTTGTACGAAGCAAATCTTGTATCTGCGAACTAGTGACTCTTCATCAAGCATCAGTGAATTCATGGCTCACATCATTGGTGGTAACATTTTAAAATAGCGTAAAAATATACAACAGGTAGGAGAAATGTATGTTTATTGCTAGAAGTTACAAAGTATTTACAAAATGAATATACATAGCCTTCAATCGTCCATTTGCATCTTACGGTGTGTTCTGCTATCTGAACTGTCTTCTCGTGTTGTCCCCATGTGTTATGTCAACGCCGTGCTTTCGATGCACTGGTACTCTTCATTCTGTTTGACAGTTGTTGCAACTTCGACTCCGCGTTCCGCTACACGCTACTTACAAACAATCTTATGAGTAGCGTCCACTACAATAGCATGGTTGAATGGAGTTCATTACTGACACGCATAAACATTAAATATGTGGTTAATGGTTGTCATACTGGACATCGATCCAGAAAGTCATGGGTTTAAAGCTTAGGAAACCTACAGAGGTTAAGATAGCACTCACATAATAAGCGTAGCTCATAACGAATATACCAACAACATACTTTTAATGGAAAAATCCACTAGAAATGGATATATTTCATTCATGTTATAGGTTAGAAAATGAAGTGCTGAGTGGCTACTTTGAAATTGTTGCCACGTTTTTTCAGTCAACTTTTTATCCTGCAGTTTTTCTAATCTTAGAAACTGGTAGGTTAAAAAGATGACTTCACGGTTCAAACCTATAGGAATCGCTCAAAATGCTAAGTGGGGTTTTCCGACTGACAGCATTTCTGTAGTAACCACTCAGTAGAAAATTGTGTCAGATACCCCAGTTGGGTTAAAATCTCTGCACAAGACAACAAGATCCACTGTGATTCCTATCATGCGTTTTAAATAGAATACAATAAATTCCAGTTTAATCCTAATTAGAGTCAGGATGCTAGTCCTTATCGATCCTCATCAGTCTCAATAATCTACTTGGCCAGTGTTGTAGTCAGATTTGTTAAGACCCTATTAATAGTACTCTGAAGTTCTAAATTATTTAAATACTGTTATTTATGATACCCTTGTTTTTCGACAGTTGCATGTATGGGGAAGTGAGAAAAGTCTCAGATCAAAGAGATTGTTATGTCCGAACGAAGAATAAATGAAAGATAACTTCTACGAGTTATCTATGGACTATTACTACATATATTCTTATAGTATAATTATTTAAGCTACTGTATATATAATATCCCATTTATCATAAGCTTTCATTTGACATATTGGCTACCGTTATACGACTTACGGTTCTTTACTTATTCCCAATTTATCAGCTACAGTATCTCATACAGCCACTTTTGGTTTGATATTGTTTCATTATTATTTTGCATTTTACAGTGTGATTCGGTCTGGTCTGCTTGTATATAAACTACTTATGTTTGAGATATACGATTCATACAGTGGAGGATCAGATTGTGTTCTGGACTGAACGGTCTGGGCTAGGTGAGAAGTTACTATACAGAGGAATAATAATGACTCAGTTGACTGCTGCTGCTCGTGCTGGGTAACGAATCATTGGTTTAGCACAAACATATCATATAAATCGGTGTTTTGATTGGCGGTTTCGTCATGTTATATTAAACGGCTTATAAGACGTAAAAGAGATACTAAATATACTGAATCATCATTATGAATAATTTATTGTGATGTACATTACATCTGAGTAAAACTGTAACCCTAGTCCTTGCATTCCTATTTAGTTCATTCAATTGATTAACGTCGCTTTTGAATGTCTTTTCGTTTCATTGCTGTTGAAGCTTCTGTGCAAGATTGCTACTTCTCAATTACCTTTCTGAAGGTATGACTGAAATCCTTGGTTTTGTCTTCAAATTCAAGAATGCCTTTTGTAGTAAAACATTAACATCTGTCAACTTTTTTATTCAATTGTTAGTCATACTCATCAAATCTAACTGTATTGTTTCTTTCTATGTTTGTAGACAAGTGTATGAAATATATGTTTGCCAGTTATTGAGAATTGGTTATTTGTACATTGGTTACGTGACATACTTTCTGTTGTCTTATCGTGTACCAAGGAATTTCTGTACTGTCATTACACAATTATATAGAAGACATTTCTCTGTTGATTTTGAGGTTGTGACTTGGTTTATCCTTAAAAAGGGCGTTCAACTGAAGGTCTATTATGGGCTGATTAAGTACTAACGCACGATCTAAATGTATAAACATTTTTGGTTTTTTTATTTTAATAGGAAGGCTGGCTAATTAGTTCCGATTGTTTGTATATAAGTAAACATTGAATTACGCCGTTACCGCATGAATTTTTTCTGACACGATAGATTGCATTTAAGATGTAATGATTTATTTTTACAGCACCTTTTTCAAAATTTTGTAGGATACTGCTGGTCAGGAGCGGTTTCGTACTTTGACACCCAACGTGTATCGTGGTTCACACGCTGCTGTTTTTGGTAAGTTACGGATTATATTATGTGGTTTCACGGGTATTCATTAACTTTGATACTCATAAATGAACATCTTTTGAATCGAGCTTGACGTAGAAAAGCCAATGCACGTAAAACTATCATTTTTTCTTATAGCAAAGTTAAAACATCATTCGAACAGGCTACTTCTCATACACTTATAAAACATGTTTTTCGAATATATGGCCTATAATTTCCAGGTAATTGAATACGGGATCATCCTGCTCAATCTAAAAACCCATTATGTTGTTAAATATATGTTGATACATAAAATTCAATCGCAAGCGTCTCATTGACTGAAGATATGCGTCAAGAAGAGTAAAAGTTAACCAGATTTCTACTCCTGAACCACTTTATTCTAACTGTAGATCACTAATGGACAAAATGGACTTTATTTTCTATTAAGCGTAAATATGCATCGTAATTGTGGCGAAGTCTCAGTTCAAGAATCTTGATTAAATGATTTCCTTGACAATAGTTTGATATCACTACATAATTTCGGGGTTCATCATCAAGATTGTTCAATCAACGAGAAAAAGTGAGGTGCTGGTGTAAATGTTTTGTTATTGTAGACTGGTGTTAATCTAACTATGCACATTTTAAGTTTCCCAACAATTTTATAGACCATTAGCATTTCTAGATAATAATTCTGCCTTTGTTTCTGTTTCATGACCACTAATATTGGGCAAGGTTACTGGCGTTAATGCTGAGAGCTGGATAACTGACTGAGCTTGTTCTTATTTCCTTGAAACAGTATATTGTGTATAGAAGAAAGCTTTTCACATATTTGTAAATCAAAGTTGGTTTACCACAAGTCTTTGTCTCCCCTTCTCTTTTATTTTTCTTACATCTGCCGTCCACATAAAGCACCTTTTTATGATATTGAAGATGATATCTCGACTATTGAAGTTGTGCATTGTAGGTCTAGAGTTGGTTGCAAAGAACACCATAGTTGAACCAAGTGTACATCTAATTTTTTTTTTAAATAAGTTAGCTAACAGTGTCTCATATGTTCATAACTGAATCATTCTATCCAGTGATTATGAATGTTTTTTTATCGCATCAATCAACATAAATGTGTTACAACTGTTCGGGTGATTTCATTATTTAACTTGCTAAAGTTAGATATCATGAAATTAAACTATTGAATTCATTAACCATTCCATAAATATTTATGTAAATCAATTACTTAGATAAAAAATTGTTTAGAAATTGTTCACGATTTTTGTTTCATATTTAGGTCTAAAGTTATTGTTGTTTCTTTTTTTCCTTAAAAAAAGATTATACTTAGCAAGGATGTGAACAACTAATTGTAGATGATTAAGTGAAGTTTCATATATAACATCTTTTAAGTATTTTAACAGTCTTAAGAAAGAAAGGGCCGCTGACATTCGTTTATTATGGGACATTTGATAGTCAATTATTCATAACTACTCCATAAATAGTAAATATTCAGGAATTATATCTATTTGTTTATTTCCATGATTTGTATGTAACATAGTTGAATGTGATTGTTTGAAACATGAAATAAAACTTTCACATTTAGATAGATATTCCACAGTTTATTCTCGTTGTAATTAACATTAAATATTACATCTATTCAGTCAGTCAAAATCGAAATAGAGCTGGGGATAGATATACTTTAGCCCAAGTTTATTTATTTATTTATTTAGTTGAAGTTAGAAATTAACACCGTTGGATGCCGGCTCAGTGGTTAAGTGCTCGCGCGCGTAACCAGTAGGTCCTGGGTTCGAATCTCGCAAAGGGGCGAGGTCATGGATGCGCACTGCTGAAGAGTTCCACAATAGGACGAGACGGCCGTCCAGTGCTTCCAGGTTTTCCATGGTGGTCTAGCTTCAACTGACTCATGATCTTAACCATTGAAATTTATTTATATATTTGAACACATAAATATTGGTACAAGAGGGCACCAAATATTTATGCGCCACACAGAACAGTTGGAATTAGAAGAGAGAAAAAACGAAGGTGAGAAGCGTAAAAGAAAAAGAAAAAAAATAACGACAAGATTAATGTAAGGTAGTGTAATAATATTAATAATGGGGGAGACGGAAAGGTACAACCAGAAGAAATCTTTCAGTTAAGGAAGATACGACCACTTTTTATGAAGAAAGTAAAAGGTTACATCAGGATCACCACCGGCTTCTATCCTGAGCCATATCTGATAACGTCTCTAGCCACTGTGTAACACCATCTCTCGGACCCCAACCAGGGAGTCGTGAGGGACCGACAGAAGCCAGTTCTTCGCAGCTTTCTTTCATACCACGACACCATGTCATACATTGACCACCTCTCCGCTTTATCCAACCAGTCCCAGAGTCAGCAAATAATGCACGAAGTGGAATTCTCTGGGACGACATTCGTAGAACATGTCCAGGCCACCGAAGTCGGTGTTTTAAGATGGTGACACCAATCGGATTATCATCTCTGCGCCCGAACACACGATGCCGAACCTCTGCATTACTGACATGGTGTTGCCACTGGATGTCAGCAATCCTTAGGAGACAACGATGATCAAACACAGAGTCGTCCAACATCCTCAACTCGGAGAGGCCAGGTTTCACAAGCATAGAGCAAAACTGCTCTCACCGACGCGTTAAAGACCCGACCTTTTACAGCCAGACTAACATCACGAAGGCGCCAAAGATGGCCCAGATTGGCATAAGCCGCTCTGGCTTTCACTATTCGTGCATTGATCTCATCACTCCCACTCCCACCAGCATTTATGCAGCTACCCAGATACACGAACTTCTCAACTACGTCTATCTGCTCACCATCCAGGGTGAATACAGGATTGGAATCCTTCCAGTCTTGTAGAAGTACTTTGCACTTCAAAGGTGCAAAGCACATACGATACCTACGGACACTGATTGCCAACTGATTAAGTGCGGATTGCATGCCTTGGGCATTATCGCACAGTAAGACAATATCGTCCGCATACTCAAGGTCGAGAAGTCTTTCTCCAGGCAACAGATCCACACCACCATTACTTACATCCATCAGAGCTGTTTCCAGAATGTCATCGATGGCAAAGTTGAAGAGGAATGGTGAGATTGGGCAACCCTGTCTAACCACACTGCTCGAATGGAACAATGGAGAGAGGTTGTTGTATGCCCTCATTCTGCCTGAGGTGTTTGTATATAGGGCTTTTGGGGTGCTAATAAACTTCTCAGGCACACCCTTCTTCAATAGACAATTCCAGAGAACAGTGCTGTCCAACAAATCGAAGGCAGCCCTGATGTCAAGAAACACTACGATTATTGGCCTTTGATAAGTATGACTGTGTTCTAACATTTGGTGGAGGGTGAAGATATGATCAATACATCCTCGACCAGAACGAAACCCAGCCTGCTCCTCGCGAGTCAATCTTTCTCGGGTTTTGAACAACCTACGAAGTATGACGGAAGCCAATAGCTTGGACGCAATCGGAAGTAGACTTATCCCCCGATAGTTGTTACAGGAACGACATGAACCCTTTTTAAAGATAGGGACAACTATCGACTCATTCCATGACGTTGGTACACTCTCTAGTTCCCAAACCTTTGTAAACAACGTCGTCAATTCCTTAGTCAGAAAGTCACCACCATCTTTAAAAAAAGCCGGAGGTAGGTCATCTGGGCCAGGTGATTTGTAGCGCTTCAAGAGTGGGAGCTCCTTGAGGACTTCCGCCTCATTTGGTGTATCAGTTGTCACAGGCCATGGAGGGCAGGACAGTCTGACCGATGTTGCCGGAGCAGCAGGCCAGTTGAACTGCCCTTCGAAAAATTCTGCCCATCGTCCAAGACGTCGATGGATGTTAGTGATTGGCATCCCATCATCCTCGCAGATTGTTTCGCTCACACCAGACTTCTTGTTGCCAGTGGCTCGGATGAGTTGGAAGAGCTTCCGGTAATTACCAGATGCAGCTGCTGCTTCCAACTCATTAGCGCGCTCCGACCACCAGGCTTCTCGGTCCTTACGCAAGCTTTGCCCGATTTCATTACGTAACATCCTTCGTTTGTGGTCAAACTCACGGTCACTCGGAGTAGACCGACGGGCTTCAATGAGTTGTAAGGAGCATTTTACATCAGCAGGACGAATTATATTTAACCAGATGAAATGCTTAGGAGTTGAGTTCATGAACAGATGCTATATCTTGTTTTGGCTTCCCCTCCTTTTATTTCAAATTACTTCTTCGCCAGCCGACATTAAACAAACTTAACATATCCCAGACACCTCAGGTGATGAAGCTTTACAGTCTTGACAACAGATTTGTTATCTTTGGCATTTTAGGCCAAACCACAACAGTGCTCACGACATCTATGCAGTGCTCCAAAGACACAGTCAGGATCTTACAACCTCCAAAGATGATGGCTTGTTGTTCGACTTCATTTCCATTGTGAATTTTATATCCTTGAAGATGCTGATCAGACTGTAGGTGTTTTCCAGCCCATCTTTAGTGATGCAAAATCTGTCATCCACATAACGAATCCACATTTCTGATTTGGTCACTGGTGTAATCGAGGCTTCCAGTCTCTGCATCACTGCTTCTGCATTAAGTCCTGATATTCGAGATCCCATTGGTGTTCTTTTCGTTTGTTCGTAGGTTTGTTTGTTGAATTAAAACTACGTCGTTAGCGGTAAATCAATGAGTTCTAGTAGACCTTGACTTTGAAGCTTCGTGTGCTTTGGGAGATTTGTGTCGTTGGTGAGAAATAGGAATAGAGTTTCCTTTGCTAAGCTTGGTTCTATTGAAGTGAATGAAACTTACGTTGAAGGATATCAGTTCATCGTTGTTGATTTGAATCTAATTAAGCTTTCTTAAGAATTGTATTGGATATTTGGAACGATGAAACGAATCCTTTAAATGTTTCAATATTATTGAAATTTCGATAAATTGTATATTAAGGTTCCGGGGAGTGATCAGATATGACGTAGTGGGATGTTGGGTTTGTGTAGTTTCGGTCTATTGTAGAATCACAAAAGTGTAAACTTACAGCTTACATATGTTTTCTACCTCGACAGACATCGATTAATGTAAAGTGGATCGCTGCGTATTGATTAAGTTGTTTTTATATATTTAAGCCTGTTACGTCTCTCGAAGTATCGGCTGCCGACCAGTGATCTCCAAGAAACTCTATCCGGGAATATTCTTTGCAGTCTTGATTTCTGACTTCAGTTGCCGAGATTATGTGTTCTTTGGTCTGCATTTTTCCCTTTTGCCCCTAGCTTGAGCTTGTCTTGTGAGATACAGTCTAATGGTTTTCACAAAGTGTGTTCTATCCACCTCCAGCGTCTTTTCCTGATTTCCTCCACCTCTGGTTGCTGACTTATTCTCTTTCAGAGTAGATTATTGCTGATGGTCTCTAGTCAATACATTTGGGGTCACTTGCATAGACAACTCTTTATGAATACTTGTACTTTTTGGTGATTTTGGTAGCAACTCTCCAGGTTTCAGCTCTGTACAATAGCACTGTCTTAAAGTTAGTGTTGGAAATTGTGACTTTGGTTTTGTCTGAGAGTTGTTGTGAGTTACGTAAATTCTCTGATTGTAGGGATGTTGCCCTTCATTCTCTAACTCGTTCCTTGATATATGCGTCAGATCATCCTTGTTTGTTATTGGTAGTGCCTAGATGTGTAAAGTTTTCCACCTCTTCAAGAACGTCACGATCAAGTGTGGTTTTGTTGGGTCTCTGTGTGCTGTATTTTAGGATCCTGGTTTATCCATTGCGGAATTTGGCGCTTCACTGGTTTTCTTCGTCTGCATTTGTTTCTGTGCGTGGAATAGAAAGGTTAATCCACCTAGAAATCCAAATAACGCTGCTGTCTATAATATTCACTGTATCATGTGTTTTTCCCAAGCTGTGAACCCACTTAGTAACTAAAGGAAAAAAATCTGAAGTAATCAGTCTTCACTTGGAATACATCTGTGAGCTGTCCTCCATTAGTGACTTTATAATTCAGTCCGTCGTAGGAGTTTTGTATGGTGGTGGCTATCTTTCCACGCGCTCCATATTGTTAAAATAGGTTCCATTAGGTTCTCCTATCCACACTATTAAATGCTTTCTCATAGTCACACGATTTCGTCGGGAAAATTGCAACCGACCTCATTTCTACTGTGAGTAGGCGTACATAGATAGATGAAAATGTATGTTCATAGATGTAACTTTTTGCAGTTACTGAGGTAAGCTTCATATAAATTCACTTATACTTTACTCATCTTTGGATCAAATAGTATAAACATGTATATATTTTTCTACCTCCATTTATTTCACTGTTATGATTTTTGTTTAACATACCATACCTTTTATTCAGTGTTTGATGTGTCGAATCGTGAGAGCTTTGATCATCTGACCAGTTGGATGGAAGAGTTAAAAACTTATTCAGATAATCCAAACATGATTAAACTTCTTGTTGGAAATAAAATTGATAATGTAAGTTTTTATAAAATAATCAAATATCTACAAACATGTACTTTTAATTAGATAGTTTTTTCATCATTATTTAACATTTTCTAGTTGTCCATTAGTAACCTATTAAACTAAGATATTAAGCTTGATAATAATATCTACTGTTAAATTATACAGTTAATAAAAGGAAAAAGTGTAAAAGAATATTCTACTTTCCTACTGGCTTTAATTTGAGATAATTAAAATTCCAATAGTTGAGATTATAAGTCAATTGAAGCTAGACCACCATGGAAAACCTGGAAGCACTAGACGGCCGTTTTGTCCTATTGTGGGTCTCTTCAGCAGTGCGCATCCACGACCCCACCTATCCGCCAACTACGTCGACGCATAGTAATGGCTAGTGTAGAAGTATGTTGGAAGTAAGCTATAGGCGGCCGAACCAACACATGGCATATGTCCGTGAAAATACAGAGTATTGGACTGAGTCATTTAGGTAAATGCGGACTACGTGGTTGTGGTCCGCATGATTATTGTAACCAATGGTTATGACTGGTTGACATCGATTCACTTTTTGTATTCCCTTGTATTCTAAGTTCCCTACAAATTTTATTCATTTGATTAATTTATGTTTTGTCTCATCGCATCTTGGATGCCTGTTCTTTTCTATTATCATTACTACTTGTATTACTGTGGGATTTGCCGTTGTGTTTATGGGTTGTAGAAACATGAACCGATGTACATTTGTCAGCTTTCACATTACGTATAATTGACTGGCCGATACTTAAAACACTTATTGCCTAGGTATTGTATGAACTGTGATTTTACGGTTCCATCATGTTACATCTGGCATATCTAAAATTATTGATATGACCGCTGCTCTTGTGCTACTATAAAGTAATCCCGGAGCGTTTAAATAAAATATTGTGTTTTATGTAGAAGTGTAAGTTTTAACACCACTTATATATCTCAGTTGTAAACACTAGAATGCTAGATTCCTTTGTCCAGCTAACTTTGGATATCGAAGCGCTAGTTTTCAATCCCGACTTCTAGACACATTTCATTGATATCACTTGACTTCCCCTTAATTTCTCTGAACCTCCTGAATACAACTGTTTTCATGATTATGGAATGCTTTAGTATTAAAGAATTATCATTGGTATTATTTTTGTTTTTACTCTAGATTTCCCGAGAGATTTCTCGTGAAGAGGGTCTTCGTTTTGCCCGTTTATACAGTATGCCGTACGCTGAAACAAGTGCGAAAACCAGTGAAGGTGTTAATCAGCTATTTTCTGATGTTGTTACTAGAATTTATAATCATTCTGAATTGTGGAATCAAGGAAAAAAGCGTGCAATTAATAATTCTTCAAGTCGTGCTCACTTAACTGAACTTGAAGATAAACAGACCCGTAGTGGCTGTTGTTCATAATATTCGTAGATGTTTTGGTATACATTCCTTACACTTTGCGAATTCATGACTTCACTTCATTATTGAAATCTCTTATTTTATCCAACTAAATACTATATATGGTATACTATAACGATTTACTGCTATTTTTTAATGTTTTCTGATAACAGTTTATTACAAACTCCTTCTTTAAGTTTATAGTGTCATTCAGTATAAGGCTGTGATGTTATTTGTTAGCCAAAATTTTATGATGCTTTCATAGTTTTGCGCTGCTTTCCTTCATCTATTTTGACTAGATAAATATCTAAAAAATAGGTTATGTCCTTTTTTCGTTGGCTGTTTCATTGTTTCTTTTTCAATAAAAGATCAAAACAACTGAGACTATTTTCTTTATCCATTTAGACAGTTATTTTCTTTTCAAGATTTTTCTTGTTTATTTTATTGTACCTTTAAAAAATTTCAATATTTCCGTTACTTGCTTTGAAATTGATCACACTGTTTTATAGAATTTTTTCGTCAAAGCTAGTATTATTTCAGGTGATTTTCATATGGTTAATACTAAATCAAAAGCGGATTCGAACAATCCCACTGTTTAGTATATTCATTATTATGGAGTCAGTATTGATAAATCCGAAACCATTTGAAGTTCTTACATAACGACTATACCTAATTGTAGTTGATGGAAATAAAACTGTCAAAGATTGTGCTAGTAAAAGAACTTGATTTTTGGAAAAGCTAAATCAGTAGTAATCCCCTTTGGCTACTTGTCCAATACTCTGACAGTTGTAGCTAGGACTGCTCAACATGATTCATGTAGATCATTAATCTTTGTTTCCTGGCGTAAGGCCAATGTGAAATACGGATTTGAATTATATGAAACTCGTTAGGGATTAAAGAGAAAAATCATTTGACGTATATGCATGGTTGTTCCCAGAAATCTAATTTTCTTACTGTGAATCATTGTAGTGATACTTTTTAAGTGATAGCTATGTAGTTTAGTATAGACCCTAATGTGTATAAACGTTTTATAACCAGTAAGGATGCCTCGAACAGTCGTCTGTGAATGAAATTAAATTCCGTACTTTTCTTAACATCTGGAGTTCAATGTGTACTATTTGTATTTCCTGGTAATACGAGTACTTTTGGGGTTGGATAGTTCACATTTCAAAGATGTTCATGTATCATTGTAACGTTCACGAAACTGTAGATACCATGATTTGATTATCGGCCCTGCGATTCAGGAGCCCTTCGAAAGAGTTTTAGGATTCTTCGATTATTAATCAAGCAGTGAACCATACTCTCTATACGTAAATATTTTCCTTGGATATTACAACGAAAATAATTCTCGGTGATTATATGGGGAAAACTGAAATTTTGTATCAATGTAAAATTATGTTAGTAACAATTCTTCTTGTTTTTTGCCCTAGTTGTGCAAATAAGAATGTTTAGAATTGACTTATTCTCTTTTCCTTATACAAAAATAAGCATCGCTCGCTAGTCTTACTTTCGAATGTCGCAATACGATTTTACTAAACTGATCTGCTGGATATCATATGTTTTCACCCCTTAATAGTGATGTTTTAGAAATAACTTGGGTTAAGAGAAGTTATTGTTGGAGAGGTTCGACAGAAGACAACCATTCTTTTTGGAGCAAATAGACTCCAACTGTCCTGTAGCGAGAACATTAGTTTTATTGGACGCGGAGAAGTCTCAACAAATTGACTCTTTGGGATTCAGTTCGAAGATGTAAAGTTAATGAATGTATTTAAGAAAGAATTAGGTAAAGAACTATTGGAAAAGAGTTAATCTCAAAGAAGATTTGTGTGGTATCAAAACGCCAGGAAATACAACAGAGGTGTTCGTTAAGTACCTAAAAAATACTGTTAGGAAATATCGGGGGAACTCCCACTGAAATGATAGCTGCCCGGAAGCTCAACACATGCTCAGAGGTCGAGGTATTGCAAAGTTAACTCAAGCAGAATGATAAAATTCACAGGATGATTATGACCATTATTGGGCGAGGAAATCTTAGGAGGAAGAAAGAGCAACTGAGATATCTAACCAGACAAGTGTTTGGAATGATCAAACATCACCTTTTAGCGAACTTATCCTTGTCAAAGATAAGGGTAGTGGGAGTTTGAAAATTAGACCTAATCTTGTCTGACTGGGCTTGACCGCTAACCGTCCCAATATGTAAGAAACGACAAAAATTCTCTTATGATAACCACTGAAGTATTGCTCTTGCTAGTATAATATTTAAAATGCTTCAGTAATCATCCGAAGTTGTCCATAGGTTTTAGGATAGAAACCAATGCTTTATTCTGATCGGTTTTCTCATTCGAAAGTGATATTAAACTCCGTCGCCTTAGAGGTTTAGTGGCAGTTTTTGTCACTGGAGGAGGGACTAGCAAAGTATCCAGACCTGAAAGCTCCTCAATAAGAACTTCGCTGTCGAGCTAGAACTTACAGAGAACTGTAATCGAAAACACTGAATTGCATTCGTCAGCGTTGCCTAATTTCTTCGCCCCTATTTAGCTCCATTGTCATTCTTTTTGAGATGCTCATCATCCAGCTTATCAGAGATTGATTTCCTACCTGACAACCTTCGTCTTCTCATCGTATTGTCGAGATGTTAAATTAAAGTATGCAGATGACAGAGTTCTATTTAGTGAAGACGCTGACAAAATGCAGGGTGTTCTGATTTCTTTGAACAACAATACGAACATATTCGGGGTGCGTATCTTTGTTCTTAAATGTATAATGTTGCTTGAGGACTGCTCTGCATTAACAACTAAACTAATTATAGGGAGTGAATTAGTTGAGTGTACCGATCACTTCAATTATCTTAGTTTTAATAAAACTGCTGAGTTGGTGGCTGGCGAAATCTAGGCACGGTGCTAGGAGACTCGATTGGGTTTCGCCAGCCTACGTTATTTGTGGTGCACGTGAAATGTATGTCTGTCAATGATGTGACGAGCACATTGTGCATTAGTTCATTCTATCTATCTTTTTCTATGGACATGATACTTGGCTAATGAAGGTAAAAGACGTCAATAGTCTCCAAATAAGTATATGATTATATGTATTTCCGAAGCATTGTTCATGTATAGTAATACAACCAAGTGAACATAGGATACTTGATAAAAATACGCGAATCCATTGATCAATTACGAACCTTTATTGAATGAGGTGGTTAGAAAATATGTTATAAATACCTAAGAACCTCCTACTTCGACCCGTAATGCTGATTGGGATTAGCATAGATAAGAAGGAAGCTAAGAGTGTTCAAACCAAATTAAATAGTCAATTTCGTTGGACTGTGGTCGTGTGGCATGGCAGAATTTTTGTATCTGGCTGCACAGACTGACATAAACATAACAAGTGTGTAAATATCGTGCTGTATGCATGATTAGATGGCCTTGAATTCGGGCCTGTACGGTGTTATGAAAGTCAGTTGTCGCGGACCCTAAAGTAGGGTTCAAGCAACCCTTCACTCTCTGATTTTCAGTCGTCTCACAGATAACTTCATTTTGCAACAAAAATAATCTTTAAATTGTTCCGTTCTCAGTAAATAATATATGGGTCTATTATACAAGTTGCAACCTCTCACAATATTCTCACTGTGTGCTAAAAATTAGTGAAAAACACTACTCTAATTCTCTTTCACCTAATATTATTAAAAATCTGAAAAATAATCACGGTAGGATGCAAATGATCAATGTATGAAAATTAGCATTTTAAGAAAGCATGACAGGAATTCAAGTTCAATCTAAGCATACACACAAAGTACCGAAAAGTGAAAATGTTACATAATAAACTATTATTTTTTAACAGTTTGTTATGATGAGTTCACCTGTAGACAGTCTTTTACACTTAATGTCATATTTTACATAAACACTTAACATAAACAAAATGTTTTTCATAGCAAAAAATTAGAATTATAAACATAATCAAATAAAGTAGGATGATAATGATGATGATGTAAAACGATTAAAAAAAAATTCAAGTTACAGTATCATAACAACACAAAATCCGGAATTAAAGATTCATGAATTAATTATACTTTCTTTTATCGTACAATAATTATATACAATGATTTCATTTTAAAGCAATACATAATCAGCAATACTATGTCGTTGTTGTTCACCTGAAGTTAATGGGTTTTTTGCAGTTACAATAATTGAAGAGGTTTTATGTTTAGGCTTTTGAGATGATAATGATAATCCATATGTTTGTAGATCATTAAACATTTTCTTTTTTATTGTATTGTATCCTAGTTGTCAATGTTGTATTGTTTTGTGAAAAGAAGAATAAGTATCAGTGATTAGCTTGCATTTATAGTGCGATTAGTTAAACATAATTAATATCTCATCCATGTCAGCAGACAACAATTCTTGTAGATATTCAAAAACCCTTCTATTCCTTTATAGGTATACCTTGTTAAACATCGGGGAATCTCTGTAAATTATTGATCCCAGGTAGTGACTTTCCATTTTAATTAGTGTTTTGGCTAATCAAGTATTTTTTGCTTTAACCAAATTATTTGAATAGTACAGGCTACTAAGCTAACGTGATTAAGGAAGAAGTCTACGGAGATTGTCTAACTTGAAGTTAGTTTATCTGACAAAATAACACCTATTGTTAGGAGTTGTAAAGACTGTTGAACTTTATTGAAATCATGAACAGATTCAAGTTAGACCAGCATTGGAAACATGGAATTATTTGATGAACGTTTCGTCATACTATGGGACTCTTCATCAGGGAGAATTCACAAGCCCACAGGATTTCAATGGTGGTCGAACTTAGGTGGGTTCACGATTTCAATAGAATCGATATGTATTAAAAAACCATAGGACATTGTAAAGTTATTCCTCCTGAGAAGTTCGGAATCACCATTAAACACCTATTTATTGTTATGCGGATTTCCCTTATTCTACTCTAATGTTAGTCTGTAATGCTATTGAATATACAGCTTTAACTCATATGAAGCAAGTGAATATATTTTTATATTTGAGTGCAGTAATACGACATATTAGAACTGGAAAATAAAGTATTCTTATCAAAGAATAACACAAATAATTAGTCCAAGAAAATTATAAGTAATTTACCGGACTCAAACTTTAACTAAATCATCGAAGTTTTCTCATTTAGGCTAATCATCCAAACACCACTGTCGCTATCTCGTAAAAATAAAGTCAGTTTATAACTGTGATCAGTTTGTTGCAAGAACTTGTGATATACATATGATACAGATCCTTCATGTAACGCCTTATTGCAAAATGAACATCAGCTCAGCCCAAAATTGATAAGATTGGAAATATTTAAACTTAATATAGTTAATAAAGGGATCTTCTACAGACTTTAATGTGAAACATCATTAATACTAAATTTCTCTAAGGTAACTTTTTCTATCACAATATACACCATTTCAAGAAATAATATATAATAAGGAGCACTAAACATTTATTTCACTCTATATTTAGGAAGAGGTTTTCAATATTATACTTCTATAGGAAGTCTGATCCAAAATGTTCAGACCTATAGTCCTTGACATTGTCAGAAGTCATTATAGTTCACTTTCGTGGAATTCCAGTCTAGGGAGAAACAGTTGTCTAGTGTCACCTGATTTTCTGTAGGTAATATGTGTTCATAGAAGATATTTCCACATCTAACAGGATTTACAAGGATCTATTCCCAATTTTTTAAAGCTGTTTGATTAGTATGAAGATTACTATGAACTGATCTAAGAAATGTTTAATTTTCAGTATGTGCTATTTAGTTTCGTACCTTACCGTAGTCATTCATTTTTATCGGCAGTCATCCGATAACCAACCATATGTCTGAAATTAAACAATCGATTAAAATAGTCTTAACAAATTATACAGTATGATTAATCAATCTAATCTCAACTATCATTCTTAGACTTAAATTAACTGATACATTTTGATATAAATATACTGCTACTTGTCATCTGACAATTGCAAATTTCTGATTTTATTTAACTTATGAAAATCAGTACCTAATTAGAGGCTTACGAAATCAACATTGAGTCATAATTTTAATAATGTTAACTACCAGTCTCCATATCTATCTATTTAAATTAATGAATTGTTATTCAAACCTGTCATTACAACAAATGATTCACTATATCCAAGTATTCTTTTGATAAATCGATAAAGTGAGAATTAAAAAAAATAGGTGAAACCTTCAGATTATATCTACTTTTTACTACTTATCTTTTTTGATTAGCTGATTGCTTAATTGTGTTAATAGTGCAATACATTTTAATTTTAACTTAAAAAATATATGTTGAACATAAAATGTACCTATTTATCTTTGTGAAAGGACTATAACGTAGAGCGATGTTAAAATACGAGAGGAGACATACTCAGTAAAACTTTTGTAACTCATTCACTGTTTTTTCTGATTGCTATTAATACCATCTACATTGTTTATTAAATAGAATTACGTGAATGTTTTGTATTGTCATGATAAAGATAGTATTAATTTATCAATCTTTTGTGGAACATAAACTTGGAATCTTGAAGGGAAACAGAAAAGAGGAAGGCCAAAAAACACATTACGTTGGGAAGAAGAAGCAGATATGAAAAGGATGAATGACAACTGGAAAGATCTGGAAAGGATTGCCCAGGACAGGGTTGGATGGCGAGTGCTGGTGGGCGGCCTATGCTCCTCTACGAGGTGTAACAGGCGTAAGTAAGTAGTGAAACATAAACAATATTTGAAAAAGAATGAATAAATAAATATAGTACAAATCTATCCTGATTGAAAATAATCTCTAAAAATGAATATTTATTATAATAGAGAAAATTGTAATGACTGTAATGCATTGTAATAGACAAGTATTAGATAACAAGATAAATATATGTTTAATCTATATTATCCATATTCACAATACTTAACTGATATGAGAATTAAAGATGAAAAGTTGGGATTGCATGCAGTTTAACATTGCTTTTGTTATATAACAATGAATAAATTTATCATTTTCATTAGTTCATTCTCTTCAATAACTTATAATAATATTCACGACGTAAATAGAAAGGATTTTTTTCAGAAAAAAAAATCATTAAGACCACATTCTTGAGTTAAACAACTTACTTTCTCATAGATAAAATGAAAATTTTATCGTATATGAAATAAATAGCTGGAAAAATGATGACTTAATACTAACGTACAAACCCGTTCACTTCTAAAACGAACATACAGAATGTGTCTTACTGTTATGTCAATATCTCAAATAGTATTTAGTTTGTATTTTTAATTTTATGGGTGAAAAGATTCATACTATGAACTAACAGAACAAGTAACTTTGGTTATTTTTGTTATTTCAAATAACTGCGTGTAAAATCAATACAAATAGGTGAGTGATGAAGAAAATCAGCAATGTGTCATAAAGCCCTGACTGATTATTATTTCATATTTCCATATAGTCATTATCATAATATATCCGACACCCAAAGCTTATACTTTTTACTGCTACTGCACTAGACGGCTGTTTCATCCCGGTATGAGGTCTCTCAGTGATGCGGTCCATGACTTTATTAGAGATCGCACACAAGACCTCGAAGCCTCATGGTGACCTATTAACCTTCAGACCACTGATATGGCATGTGATGGTATTGCGTGATCATTTTCCATTACCTTCGGTGGATAGATGCCTCATAACTGACATGGTCAAACTTGAATAATGCTTCTCCTCAAAATCAAAATTACGTTATTCACCACTAAAGTTACAGTCATTAATAACAAGGTGTCCGGTCAATGATTTTATTTGTATAGAATTGAATATTTCCAGTAGTCTTACCTTTTGTTAATCAGTATTGACTGACCAATCGATAATTCAATGGACTTTAATCGACACACTCAGAAACTTCAACATGAGAAGCATTCACAATTCACTTCACAACTAAAACATTAATAAAAAGTCTATCAACTATGCCAAAATGTATTGACATCTTAGTTTTACCTTCCACCAGTGTCTATTTTTAAAGTGTCTCAAACTAAAGTAAAAACATATTTTCAGTGTTTCTAGATAACCAGTAGTTTTCTAGTTCCTGCTACATCATCTAACGAACACTAGCTTCAAAATAAACAATTTTTACAAACCCTCTAATAAATTAAAAAGATTATTAATTTGGATATAGAATTGTAGAGCCTGAAGATAATTTAATGAAAAGAATGTTCTTCGTTCATAAATCTGTGTTTAGTAAAAAATTATGGACAAAAGCAAAATAAAATAGCATGTTGATTGAAACGTATTGAATTCAAATAAAGTGAATCAAAACCTACCTTCATTCTCATTTTGAATCTGTACACCATTTAATTTTGGATTATTATTTTTATCCCAATGATTAGTTAGAATAAAATTATCTGTTCGTCTGAAAGGTGTAACATCTTCTCGATCACTTTCAGATGAACTTGACTGAGATTGATCTGTTAAACAATGAAGAACGATTATTCGATAATAATAAAATCAAACTATCTATTCTGAATTAAAGGTCAATTTTCAGATTGCAGTTAAGATATTCATTCTTCTGATGCTCTGGGTAAAAACAATAACTGTGTCACATTTATATTTTATAAAAATGACATATGATTATATAAGCATTAAACATGCAGTAATTGGTATAAATATCATTTCGGTAACATGTACTTTAGCTATGAGACACGTTTTCTGTTTGAGAATTAATGACACAAACGGAATGTTAAATGAGAACTGAGTAGTGCATGATTTGAATCTAGCAACGCATTTGTTTTATCAGCTTCCTGTGGTGAAACAGTTTTGAAATATACAACTACACATTAAGACTTAAGAAGAATGCTCAATACTCTTTTGTACAGCTGAATAATACAAACTTGTCATTCTATTCATGTTAGCCTAAAGAAATCGTCAATCGATTTTTCCATCTTAATCTTTCACCTTGATTTGATTCAGTAATTTAGATTACAGACCTATTAAAAGGGTTATTGTTAGTGAAAATGATTACTTCACATAAAGATTGATTAAAGAAACAATTAAGTGATTGAAAAAATTCTTTTACCACAGAATTTAACTGAAATAAATAAACAAAGTGTCTTTCTTTAATTTCAACTTCACTTAAACATGCTACGATTTTAAGATCAACTAGAATTCTTTTTACGAAGAAGCATATAACATTATAGAAAAGATAAATTGACGACCGATTCATCTTTCCTTACAAAAGATAACTTTACTTTATAATACAGGATTATTTCGATTTTAATTTAACGCCTACATATGGTTGATAAAAAGACAATACTATAAAAGCATTGGGAAAAATATTTGCTTGTCGTTCTTGAGAATATTTTAACTAACAACAGTGAATCTGTCTATTCAGCATCCTTTCTTACAGTAAATCAACCTGTAGGCATAAAACTGATGCTTAACGTCGAAAATTCCGCCATTCTTCAATGTTGATCTGTCTAAAGATATTACCAATCAATTCAAAAGTTCATTTTTTGGGGTATTCTATGTTTCTTATCAAACAACTGATATATACCAGGTGATTAACAATTAAACAATAATCAGTATAGAGTTGTGGAGATTGTTGAGCTTTTGATTGAGATACTGAATCGATCAATATTAGACCACTAATGAAAACCCAGAAGCACTGAACAGCCGTTTCGTCCTAGTATGGGACTCAGCAGCGCACATCCACGATCTCGCACGCCAATGCTTAACCTCTAGACCACTGGGCTGGCATCCAACGGTGTTAATGTCTAACTTTAACCAATCCATGATATTGCGCGACCGCCGAGGAGTCCTACCCTATAACGAAACGGCAGTACAGTGCTTCCAGATTTTCAGTGATGGTCTAACATTGATCCATTCATTACTTCAATCGGAACTAAACAATCGTATAATTTTCTTTTTTTATTAAAATAACAGATAGAAAAATGTTTAACATGAAATTCGTGCACAGATACTGAATAGACGCAAGGACATTACTCACTGAAATCGTTGTTGTTTGTATTTTTTACAATATTTTTCGAATTATCGGTTTGTGATTGAGAGTTTGAGTGTGAATGATGGTTTTTGTATGGCTGTTTAAGTGTAAAAGCATTTGAGTTCCTAGGAGAGAAATGAGAACAAGAGATAATAAGTAAACACGCTGAATTATTGTGACCATTATTCAAAGATACTATCATGTTTTGACCATTGTAGCAAAACTATAGCCTGTAAATTACATATCGATTACTAAGAGAGTAAAGTAGGAAAAAGCATTTTGCGCATATTTTAGAAATGTACTTCATTTATGTGATGCTGATACTTCGTAATTACTTACTCCTGTTACCCCTAGTGTACTATAGGCTACCAACCAAGAAGAATTCCATGGAAGGCAAATATGAGTCTAAATTAGGTACTGTCTTTGGTAGAAATAAGTCTAGGAATTATAAATTTTATCGAATTTACAAAAGAAGGAGGAAAATAAGTAATTTTGAGTTTAATAATGACAACTAACTTCATAAGTCACCACTAAACAACCAGAAAAAAAAGCAAACTGGATTTTCATACTTAACTCTGTTTACCTAACCAACTGGATGGATGATAGATTTTTACAATTCGAGACATATCTATTTAAATAGCTTTAGAATAAGTGTATACAACTAAAATCATATTAAATTTTTATATTCAGCTACAATTTATTGATGTTTTGAGAGAAACTAAGGAGTTCTCACCGGTTTTAGCATTGATTTATTTAACTTGATTGAAACTGAAGAAAAAAAAATTAACAAATCAAGTTGATTTTAACCTCAGTTAATAAAATTAATCGATTATGTACGTGTAAGACATACCATAAAGAGAAAATTATTTTAGAATATAAGATTTCCCCTGTTACGTTTAAGAAGTCACTGTTATAATTTCTCATTTGTGCCAAAAATTATATCTGGTCAACCGGTGATAACACATAGATTATTTCATCGCAAAGCCATGAAACAATTCAGTTCACCAAGATGGAGAACGGTATGATATGTTAATGTATCCTAAGATGACCTGATTCCAACTGATTAAGATTTGCTAATAACATTTACAGTTTCTTTCTATGATACATAAACTGAAAGTATAATAATAATAATAACCTTATTCTAAAATAGTGAATAAATGGGTCGTTTTCCATAGTCAGTAGAAATCTTATGTAAAATTAATACGTGGAACAACTAACGTTCCTGAATTTATTACTCTGTATTCTCTTAATCAAAGTGACAGACACATATGAATTCAATGGTAACATGATCTCAATGTATAAAGTTATTTTATAGTTAGTTATAATTTTAACTCCATAGATAAATAATCGCTATGTGTGATTTTAGAAATTGTAACTGCCTTATATGTAATGTGTTTTTTAAAATTTATAATTGGTAATTATTAAAAAAAAACGTAAATGTGATTCATTTTTTTTTAAATTAAAGAATTCACATACCAAGTTTCTTGATCAACAAAATCAGGATTAACATTGTGATTAGTGACATTTCCTGTAGATGATTTAATCCATAAGAAAAAATCCAATCGCATTCAGTAAAAATAGCATAGTTGAAGTTAAAAACAAAAACAAACAAATAAACAAAATAATGTATTAGTTAAATCATTGGACGAAATAAGAAGTAAATAGATTCCTATTCTATTTATAAGAGTAAGAAGAAAATTAGTTACAATATGAAAAATGAAAATCAGAGCAGTCAATAATTTTCAACTACTTGCTTAGATAAAAATAGAGGGGAATAAACAAAAACTGCCATAACAATCAAACAAGGAAGTGAATCGACTATAATCTTGAAAAAATTGTAACTAGAGCAAAATGTCATTCGAATAATTGTAAACTATGTTAAAGAAATCATAAAACAAGTACAATTACTTTGGAAGAATGTAAAATTCATGATCCGATTCCTGGTTAATGGAAATTTACTTACTTACATCTGTTACCACTCGTAAAGGAGCATAGGCCGCTCAACAGCATTTTCCATAAAAATCTGTCCCGAGTAATCATTACCAGTTGTTTCCGGTGGTTATTCATCTTCTCGATGTCCACATCCAATTCTCGACGTACTGTATTCTTTTGTCTTTCCCTTTTCCGTTTCCCTTCAGAATTCCAAGTTAAGGCTTGCATCGTGACGCAGTTTCATGATTCTCGCAATGTATGTCTTATCCACTTCTAACGTTTTTTCCTAATTTCCTTTTCAGACAAAGCTGGTTTGTTCTCTCCCAAAGTAGGTTCTTGCTGATGGTATCCAGCCAACTGACATTCAGTACATTGTGTACACAATTGTTTAGAAATACTCCTTCTGTGGTGTGTGCTACTTATATTGATATAAGTATTATATGTCGCGAGTTAAAACGTAATATCTGGCAGCAGATGAGAGGAAGATCAAGAAAAGAAGAACGAGAACACAACGTAATTTGTTAGAAAACGCATGAGCAATGGAATGGGAGACAATGGATTGATATTTGCAACAGAAACAGTCCAGTTTGATATGATGCATTAATGTTTTGCAAATTGACGATTTACTATATGGTATTTAGGTTTAATTGAGATAGTCTGTAATGTTTGTGCTAAATACATTCGATTGTCCACGCCCGTGTTCTTGTTTACTACACGACCTTCTTAATGGTGATCGTGGTAGCACTCCAAGTTTCAGACCCATGCTGTAGAACTGTCTTGACGTTCGTAATGAAGATTCTGACTTTGTTGTGGGTTGGCAGTTGTTTTGAGTTCCATATGTTCATCAACTGTAGTAATGCTGTCCTTGCTTTGCCAATACTTGCCTCCACATCTGCACTATATTCTCCTTGTTCATCAATGATGCTGACCAGGTACGCAAACGTTTCCACATCTTCCAGAGTTTCTCCATCAACTGTGATTGGTCTGGTTGGTGTTCTCTGTGTTGTATTTGAGACCCACCAATTCAAAGTTTGCTGTTACACTGTTTGCCTTGACCTGCATTTGTTGGTGTGTGTGTGTGTGTGAGTGTGAGAGAGATATAGAAGAGCCAGGTCATCTGCAAAGTTCAAATCATTTAGCTGGATTTAGACTATCCATTGTATTCTGTGTTTCCGCTCAGTTGTGGAGGTCTTCATAATCCAGTCAACGACCAGAATGAATAGAAAGAGTGCAAGTAGTCAGCCTTGTCTGACATCGATCTTTATTTAAAATGGGTATGTTAGCTGTCCTGCATGCACAACTTTGCACTCAAGTCCGTAGTATGAATTTCGGATGATGCTGATCATCTACTCAGGTACGCCATAGTGTCGAAGATGTTTCCATAATGTTCTCCTATGCACACTGTCAAACAGTTTTTCACAATGAACAGTGAATAAAGTTTAATTATAAATACATCAGTTATAAACAATTACACTTTTGCACACCATACTACAAAAATGGATGCTTTTATCATGACAGATCAAATGACTAAATAACATGTTGTAAATTGTAGATAAATCAATAGATGTGGAGTTCCATAGTCAGATTAAAAATTAAAATAATCCTGTCACTCTAAAGTACATTTTTTATGAACACCCAGATGAAAGATAAAACATAAATTATACCTCATCATAAATAAAATACTTTCGAAATATATTTAAGGACTCCAGAACAGAAAACCTAAAAAAGATTGATTTATTTGCTGAGTAACAATATTAATATATGTTTATGTCTTCTGGTTGATTGGAGGTATGCTTATCAATAAAAATAACATTCATCAGAACAGAATTTATTTGAGATAGCTAAAATTGATCAGATAGTAGCCTTAGATCTACAATTCAATCTAGCTGTTACTCATAAATAAAGTTTATCTCTAATGCATAGAAGGTAGCTGCTTGTATACAGATTTGAATCACTTTATATTTTGTGGAATACTTAAACTCACATAAATATAATGTTTGCTGGGGTGTTGTGATAAAAGATAATGTATTTGAAGCTTATTACCTAGGTTGAAATACATATAAACATAATACAGAGGATGTTAAAATATCCAAGGAACTGGTCACTGATTACCTTGTTATTTTTATTTCTGAAATTCATATTTGTTTTTCGCCCCAAAACATCCTATGAGAGCTATCTTTTCGTTTCACGACATTTAAAGACACTATTTTGTTTATTAATCCGTGACTTTAGTATAATCGAATTCTCCTGTTTTCAGGGCCACTATATTTGTATTTATATACTTATTACTCACCCAAATTATATTTTTTCAGTCTCTCCTAATAAATCCTTCTTGTAAGATATGAACTTTTGGAGTAGCCTGAGCTGCAAGAAAAGAGGGAGTAGTAGTATCCAGTTATCAAGGCGAAATTAAGATTTATTCCAATTAATTCAAGATTCAGCATCTAATCACATCTAAATTAGTCAGATAATGATAAATTGTATTGATATTCATTTTTAGTGCACGAATATGATGGTGCCAATGGTATATTGAGCATAACAAGTAACTTGTTAAATAACATTCGTTTACCACAGAAACTATATTCAAACAACAATCTATTTTCTTAATAGATGTATATTACATTTACTACAATTGAGCGATTGTATGTTTAACAGTTTACAATAAAAATCAAGGCTAGATAATTTCATTACTTACCAAATTCATTGCGTGACACTCTAACTTTTAAAGCAGCCATTTCAAAACATGCTGGAATGGCTCGATTATCAGGTTCAACGAATTTTGATTGACGTGAAATATTACCGGAATTTCGTTGTGCTTCTCGTTGATTCATTGATTCTTCATGACTTTTATTTGTTTGTATTTTTGAATCTGAATCTATGTTGTCATGGTCTGAATCTATAGAATAATAGATTTTTAAAAGGGAATATAAGTAAACATTTTAAAAAAACGATGTTTGCGAAGATTGAAATTCGCAAAACAGATAGTGAAATTTGTTACTTTCAAAAGTTATACATAATAAAGTCGATCTTATTTCAGCATGATATAAACGAGTTATTTTTTTGACTGAATAATCAAGTCATCTATTATTTCATCTCCCGAGCACTATTTAATAAAGACTGAAGGTCGATTCAAGGTGGCTACCATTATTAATGTTTTACAGCACTTCCATTTCCTTTTTTGATTTAATTGCTTGTGTCAAGCGTAGTATATTCTGTGGATCAAACATGTTGATGCTCAGAAAACTACCATTGCATAATTTATTTCTCGGCGTTAGCTTAGTTCATTCGTAACCTTTTAAAATAAATCTTGCAAATAGCATTTTACTGAAACATATAGAATTGGTATGAGCTATGTAACCAATGGTTAGCTTGGAGTGTGTGCTACTTATAATAACATAAGTAGTATATGATGTTAGTCGTGAACAAATGGTCTGGAAGCAGAGAGACAAGAGGATCGAACAGTAAAGAATGGAAACAGGATGCAATGTGTATGAAAATGCAAGAACAATCACGCCTGAGTCATTTTGAGACAACCGATGGACATTTTGCAAATTAAGCCTTTACTTTATGATTGTTAGATTTTATTAACAAGTCCTGTAATTTTGTGTTAAATATATTCAATTGTCCCCACCATGGTTCTTTTCACTACAAGCTCACTCATTAATACCAAAAACAGGGAAAATATATATTAATGCCTTGATTTAACATTTGAAGTACCAACAATAAGCCAAAACTCAAAGAAACATATTAGTAAATTTCTATAATATGTAACTAACTGGTCAATTTAACTAGTACATAACTATTATAAAACCTTTGAATGAGAAATTCACCCATAAACTATAATAGTGAATAAAATTTAGTACACACTTGTAGTGAACAAAGACGCTACACCACACACTAACTTTGAAATGAATATTGACGAACAATATATATATATATATATATATATATAAAGGTTGATGGACTTATGAGTTATATTTGCTAAAGAAGTATAGAGAACAAAGAGATCAACTTTTGGATAATTACTTACTATTACAACCTAATAAAAATTACAACGTATAGTTATGTTAAGAATTTTCTTCTAAAAAAAACAATTTAATATTATTGCCGGTTTCTTCAAACATTGATTCTGTGATGAATTTATTGTTTAATAAGATGTTACATCGAATGTTTTAATTTTCGAGTATATTTATTACTAACTCTTTACTCAATGCTCAATTTATTTGAAACTATCAAGTACAACCTTAAGATTGACAACTATATTATTTATATTACTATTATTAGTATAAATATTTTTTATCAGAAGTTAATATTTTTGATCGGTTAGCAAATAGTAGTATCAAATTTCGAAATCAGCTGAAGCGATTTTGAATGACATAGTGGTTGCACATAGTTATGTTATTTTATCAAGGAATAATGATTGACTCGACAGATTCATTGTTGTCAGTATGAATGTTACTCAACTAAACAGTTGTATAGATCAGTAAACTTGAGTTCTTTACAGCCAATTGTTTTTGATGATTGCAAAAGTTATAGGACTTAAACAATAATAGCTTGTCAAAAAGTCCACTAAATCAGTAGAAGTCCCATCATTCACTGAAATTATTAGTCAAAAATAAAGTTAATTTTCGATTATATTAAAGTTTCAACAGCCGACCCTCAGTTAAATGTCTAATTATTAAAATAAATTCGAACTAATGAAAATTTTTAACATGATACTAGGCTTTTACAATTTATAAAAAATAGTAGATCAATGTGCTATGTCAATTCTAACAAAGTGGTAGAAAAATTAACATCAAACTTGTAGTTACTTAAAGAATCCTTTTCTTATACACCTCAGTGATGCTTCATGATGCATGCTGCTTGTCCTTGATATAGCAAAACACCAAAGTCCTGTATAAATTTAAAAGCTGGAATGTTTCATTACACTAGTTTAAGCCATGAACCATAAAATATGTACATATGCAAACTTCCTAAGTTTAAGGCTTATTAAACGATCAACTGTTCCTTTGTTCCAGATTCCGTTCAATGAATAGGACTTGATCATAAAATAATTCGGTATACTATTGTTCGTCGTACAGTAAGAACAGCGAAACAGTAATGGCTGAAGTATATGATCTAGCTTGAATTAATTGATAGTTAGAAGAGTTTAATCGTGAAATAAAAGCGAACAATGTTTTTTCATTAATGAAGTTTTATTACTCATTAGTAGCGTAAATGTAAACACAATAGTCTTCAAATCAATGTATGTTGACCGTTACGTGTATTCTATCCAAAAATTTGTTCATTTAGCGTGAAAAGAAAATGCTGCATATTAGAACTTTTAATATGAGATATCATCCAGTTTCCTTTTCTTTTTAACCTAATCTCTTACCTAAGACATACATATGTATTAATTTTCTTATTTCATCGATAGTTACAATGAGAAACTGCACTATATAAAATATTTTCAAGTACTTAAAAAAACCTTAAAAATCACTTAAATGAATTTTCATTTCGATTTATTACAAAATAAAACATAAATTTTGTAACAGAATGAAATTCAATTGATAAATTTCTGATAATAACTGCAGTTTTTCAGCTGAAAAAATGTTGTGATTATTATTAACTTGGAATCAAACGGTTGAATGTTTGTCTAACTTTCATACTATAATTTATTGTTCTAACTAGTAATGAATATACACTCTTGGTATTTATTTTAGCCCTATTGGAATAACAATTTGGTTTAGTAACTAAAAAAGGTATATATATTTGAATTTCTAGTAAATACATAACAAAATGTAAATATGTCAAGTCAATTTATTGAGTATTCATAACATCAGTGAGATGGTACAATTTATTTTGTAAAGTATATTTTTCAGTTTATACAATTAGTAAAGAAAACGTAATAAAAGACTAGTGACATAACATAAATAACACAAGCAAAATATATTTGGTAAGTAGTCATAGCATAATGTAAAAAATCATTTTCAGAAATAATATCAAAGTAAATAAAGAAATGAAAGTTAATTACCCATAATTGATTTTTCTTCAAATGCTCCAGGTAGTTGAAAAGTAACAGCTCTAGATTTAGTTGGTTTGAGAACTTCATTAAAAAATTTGGAACTTGAACCATCTTCTTTAAAATTTCGCTTATCATGATTAATAATACTATTATCATTATTTAAAAGAAGTTCACAACTTTCGGGATAATATTTTTTACTTTTTTGTTGAAGACAAAAAGAATCAGGATCTTGTTCCGTATTATTGTTTGAGCTAAGAAGACAAGATTTTTGCTTGTTAGTTTCGTTAGTAACAAATGTTTTGCGTACCATATCAGATAGACTTGGATGAGATAATGACCGGGTTAATTCTGACGCACAAACAATAACTTTATCTCCAGTAGAACAAGCAGCAATAGATTGAATAGATCTAGGTGAACTTGATTCAGATAAAGTAGGTGAAGCTGCTGATGAAGAAGTCATTGGTGAGAAAATAGTTTTTAAACATTCATTTTCTTGACTAAGATCATCATCTTCAAGTTCATCTAGAGATTTTCGAGGTGCACAGATAAGTCCCAAAGCAAATACTAATATTAAAGGGATTAATCCTAATGCTGATAAAAACAAAATTTGAGAAAATTACTTACAAAATTATAAGTAGATTATTGTCTGGTTTAATAAGATAAATTGTTAATGATTGAAAATTATTTAGAAAAAAGTAAAATATTATGATGAAATTGTCATCATTACTAAACTATGTATATTCATTTCAACATATTGTCTTTTTTCCAGATGTTTCACCGTATAAAGATGAAATAAAACTACTGATTGAAATTTATGCAAGAAATGCTAATTTATTTTCTGATATACCATTTCATGATATATATACATAAATTACCATGATAGAATAAGTTAATACATAAGAAAGTAAATCAGTCTATAATCAACATAATCAGCATATATTTTCCTTATTTATCTTCATGATGAATATTCAAGCCTTTAACAACAAAACTATTATTAACTTCCCTGGTAAAAAGATAATGTTTTTTATGCCTTTGTTCGATCTACCTCACTATTATCATGTTTAATAGAATCTTATTATCACTATTATTGTAATTATTAGCATCCTGAAAAACAAGTATATATATGTATGAGATTGTACAGCTTTGAAAATGAATTCGCGGAAAAGAGATCCCTTCGCTGAATCAATTTTTCTCATTTTGTCTCAGAGGGTATATTCCGTTTACTTTTTACTAGCCATCAAACTTTATTTTAAATTTATTTAAATATTACAAAATCATTATCCGTCTCAACATGTTTCCAAGTGTAAACATTTTGGAACAATCCAAGACAGTAAAAATGATGAGGAGTACACAAATTTATTTATTTCTAATTACAGGGAAAAACAGCTAGTTTTAACTAAGAAAAAAGCTAGTTGGAAAATATAATAAACCAGAGCAAACAACCAAGAACGAAGAGGGCAAACCAATCACTGAAAGTTGGCAATAGTGGAACAGAGGGGTACAGCACCTATAAATATCTGCATTAATGTTCGCGTTCCCTAAACATTCAGGAGGAAGGACAAGTACCGAGAAATTCGAAAGAAGGACACTTCATCAAGTTACAAAAGTAAAGAGATCTCAGCAAGTAATAAATCTACAGATGCATCAGACTACTGTCAATATAGTAAAAAGTTTTCAACGGTATTGTTGGATTGAAATAAAAGTTCAGTATACTCTCAACTTCGACATCAACAAACCGGCTTGAGTAATGATAGAATATGTATCGAAAAAATGCCACACTACAGATCCTTGTTGAACAGTCAATCGAAGAGAACTCATCACCGTATATCAGGTACCTTGAATATAAGAAAGCATTTGAAAGAGCGTTTAGGATATGGTGACCTTATGGTTCATTCCTTGACAATATACAGTACTTGGAAAGATAGCCACCAACATACGAAACTCCTACGACGGACTGAATTAAAAAGTCGCCAATGGAGGACAGCTAACATACCCATTTTAAATAAAGATCGATGTCAGACAAGGCTGACTACTTGCACTCTTTCTATTCATTCTGGTCGTTGACTGGATTATGAAGACCTCCACAACTGAGCGGAAACACAGAATACAATGGATAGTCTAAATCCAGCTAAATGATTTGAACTTTGCAGATGACCTGGCTCTTCTATATCTCTCTCACACTCACACACACACACACCAACAAATGCAGGTCAAGGCAAACAGTGTAACAGCAAACTTTGAGTTAGTGGGTCCCAACATACACAAGGGAAAAAGAAACATCCTCAAGTACAACACAGAGAACACCAACCAGACCAATCACAGTTGATGGAGAAACTCTGGAAGATGTGGAAACGTTTGCGTACCTGGTCAGCATCATTGATGAACAAGGAGAATATAGTGCAGATGTGGAGGCAAGTATTGGCAAAGCAAGGACAGCATTACTACAGTTGATGAACATATGGAACTCAAAACAACTGCCAACCCACAACAAAGTCAGAATCTTCATTACGAACGTCAAGACAGTTCTACAGCATGGGTCTGAAACTTGGAGAACTACCACGATCACCATCAAGAAGGTAGGAGTATTTCTAAACAATTTTGTACACAAGGTACTAAATGTCGGTTGGCTGGATACCATCAGCAAGAACCTACTGTGGGAGAGAACAAACCAGCTTCGTCCGTAAAGCAAATCAAGAAAAATACACTGAAGGTCAATGGTACAGACATCGTGAAAATCATCGAACTTCATCACTAAACCAGCCCCGATTCGGAATTCTGAAAGGAAAAGGAAAAGAGGAACACGCAACAACACGTTGCACCAAAAACTGGAAACAGATAGGTGAAGAATTATTAGAAACTGGCAACAACTGGATAGAAGTGACTAGGACAGAGTAGGTTGAATAATCCTGGTCGGCAGCCTGTGCTCCACGAGGAGTAACAACCCTAGGTATGTGAAGAAATTCTTAAAATAATCTCTGTCAAAATGGAAAGAAATTAGAATCAACATCATTTTAAATTCCATGGTTTTAATTTTGATTCCCCATCATTGCATTTATTATTAAATATAGTATTAAATGGATCGATTAGCACGGAATAACATTAGGTACATTTGTTCAAAATTTTTCATCTTTCCAGATATTCTGGTCATCTGTATTTTTAAACTAAATATTGAGATGAACTGGTAAGCTAATCATATCACAAATTTAATTTGAAATGAATTGGACTATCCAACTGTTATTTTTGACTGGAATTTAATCAATCTTGGTTGGCATTTGCGCAATCTGTGATGATTACCTCAATATAGCCATTATGACACAAGTTGCTATAAAATAGAAGAAATGTGGTTAGCAGTGGATTCCAGGACGCCCGTCTTATCTCGCTTGGGACTTATCAGCTGGATGTCCCTACATCTCAGACAAAATGAAAATAGGACGAAACACATATACTCGATTCTACTGTTAGTTACATCCCATCTATTCTAAAAATATTACAAACTGCTTTGTGAAATATATGCATCGTCGCAACTAGTAATATTAGGAAAAAAGAGAATTGAATTGTGTACTAAAGATAATATTATTTTGCGTATAACGTTGTGCCCTTTCATGTTTATGGGGATGCAAAAGATAATTAGGTGGTGTTCACTTTCACTAGATTTTGGTACATTGCATTTCATGAATTTCCTTTATTTTTAAAAAATACAGTGGACCACACAAAAAAGAACTCAGTCTATACAATATATTAGTGAAACACAATAGTTTTAGTAATTGATAGAAATCGTCGACAGAGAAGGTGTAAAACAGGTTAATTTCACTATTTTCTTGAGATTGCTAACAAATAAATATTTCAGTAGTTGAAATTATGAGTCAATTAAAGCTAGACAATCTTGAAAAACCTGAAAGCACTGGACGGCCGTTTCGTCCTAGCATGGGGTCCCTCAGCAGTGGAGTTCAACCAGGTCTGTTGTGAGATATCAACTCACTGAAGACAATGGTGTACGGTGGCGCTACTTCGTGGATTGGTTGAAGTTAGACATTAACACCGTTGGATGCCGGCCGGCTCAGTGGTCTAATGGTTAAGCGCTCGGTCGCGAGACTGATAGGCCCTGGGTTCGAATCTCGCAGGGAGCGGGATCGTGGATGCGCACTGCTGAGGAGTCCCATACTAGGACAAAACGGCCGTCCAGTACTTCCAGGTTTTCCATGGCGGTCTGGCTTCCATTGGCTCATGATTCCAACTATCGAAATTTCAAAAGAAAATTTACACAAAACCTTTTCTAAAAATAAATATTTTCTTATTTCTATAGTAATAGAAATACTTCATAATTGAATAATAAAAGAAGAAACAAACAATAATAATAAAGAATTTTGGTATAGGTCTACGAGAAAAGGTCAAATGAATAGATGAAGGTTAATGTTATGCTGTTGTATTATGATAAAACTCAATATATTATATTTATATTATAAAAAAATAAAGCATTAAAAAGAGGAAACAATAGTATTTCCTTTGCATTGATTTTAGCATAAATTAAATGAAGAGAAATAAACGGACGTATATAAATGCCTTTAATAAAAAAAGTAACACTGCAAGCATCTTATTTATCTTAGAAATATAAGAAAATTCAATAAAGTTACTAATTCACTGTTGTACGAGGCCAAATAGATGGATTCGAATAGAATCTTCTTAAATACAGGAGACAAAATTTTAATTAAGTTTAAGTGAAGATAGTTTAGAAGCCTTCAATATTTTTAGGAATTAGTTCAGAATAAAGAAAAAGTTCGAAATTATTATTTACAAAGTAGGTTGATCTAAAGATAAATTTTAAGAAAAACTAACAAATTAGTGTAATAGTTAATAGCTGTTGGTTTCAATATAGAACTATTTATTTGTTTTTACCTAATAAGATAAAGTTGAGTGTCATGACTAGTATGATAATATATAACCACCCAAACGGTATCCAATTGTTACAGTTTCGATAGAAGCAAAATACAAAATTAACATCAAAGTTCTTTTTCAGTGAAGTCAGACTCAGTTGGAAAAAAAAACGACATGAATGTGATAGTTCATCTTCGTTGGTATATTGGAGCACTGTCTTTTAGTAAAACTTCATAAAACAAATGCATTTTAAGCTTTTCCTCTCTACAATAGTCGAAAGATAATTAATTTTTGTCCTAACGTTATTACTTATCATTTGTCACAACAGTTATTTGTATATCAACAGTTTTCTGATTTAAAACTAAATAACTACAGGTTGTCTTATATTTATAGACTGTGAAGTGAGTATATTAACTATGCTTAAAAACAACGAAGTATATATCACCAAGAATATTGATAAAACCTGAAAGAATCGCATATTTCTGTTATAATAAAAACATCATCATATCACCAAATTTGTTTTTTCAAGCAACCTCATCTTACTCTTCAGAAAATCATTTGTTTAGATTTAGTTAAAAATGGTCATTATGATACATAATTTATTGAAATTTCAAAAATATCTCTTTGTTAACTTTCTAGGTAAAAATAAGAAAATTGCAGAGAAATGAACGTATTTTTCAAAAACTGTTACTTTAAAAAAGTATAGACTATTAATATCAAACTAGTAAGTGAAGTAAAACAAATGATAATTAAATCCCTGTTAGTTTTCTTATTTTCTATTTCTCTTTATGGTTATGTTTAAATGTTTTGTTTCTCTAATTTTCATGATTTTACTTTCATTATTATAAGTTATGTTCTTTAAAGGGTTGTTCATTTACAACAGTATGCTCAGAATAAATCCTATTTATTATACACATTTGTTAATGGTCTTAACTTATTGTGTTCTATTTTTTTATCTAAATTTTATTGATTTTACACTTGTGAAAATATTTCTCCTTTAATTATTCTTCATAATCCGCATGATTTTATTTATAATTCCTTATATTAATCCCTCTAATGCCTTTGATTATTGTCACAAGAAAAATATTTTGCCTTACTCTCTTCATCCTGTTTTTTTTTTGTTATTTGTACACATCATATAACAGTTACATGACCTTTTATTATTATTATTTATATTATATAACGTACTATAGAAATCTTTAAACTGCATCGTCATATGTAATGATTTGTCCATATTTCTTTATTGAATTCATCCTTAAAATGATATATATTCGGCTGTACAGCTTGATCATGAATTAGTTGGAAAAAGATCGCTTCTCTGAATTTCGGTTTTTAATATTTAAAAGAAGAATTATAGATCGATAGGTTATTTTATAATAAGATTTTCGTATATTGTTCAATTGCCATTTTAAGTATTTAACAGATAATTTCTTCATTGTTATAACTTGTGGCCTTGTGATCCTATTATTATATAACGTGAGGATACAGCCAATTAGAGAACAATGATTATCGACCGCTCCAATGACACATAAAACCCGTACGAGCAGTCTAGAGTATTTATTGGTCCTGCTTCCTGCCTAGCGCTGCCTGTTAAGTCCAGAACACCAATCTCAGCCTTTGCGATATGAATAATTTATTTCAAACATACTGAGTATATTTACATACCAAACATACCACATCACTCAATAAAGTAGAAAATAACATTTTTACAAGATCTAGCCAAAGGTGGCTGTGAATGTGGAAGACTGTAATTAATAGACTGAGCGTAACTCAAGAACGGTAAATCGTATAATAATAGTCTATGGTCCAAAATAAAGCTTCTAATAAGAGGAACATGAATATGCATAGTTTGGTTACATAACGACTATATAATAAAAATATATGTATCGTATCGGTCCAGAAATAGTTCTCAAGAGTTACTATTCATAATTCTCGTCGGATATAACAATAATACAACCTTGTTTCAGTGATTAGAATTCAACTATTACATTTGTCATCTAAGGTACTAGTAGGGTTCACTTTAAGTGAAACTGTGGGTCATCTCGAATTCTTACGTATATCTTAATAATGAATACTCGTAAATATGAAATCAAGATCTGGGAATTTGTATGATGACTACTAAGAAGCACTTTACATTAATCTAATTATATTCCCATCTTGTTTTTACTTAATAACCAAACTATATCCTTAAAGTTAGATTATCGTTAAAGATGTTTGTTTTTGTTAAATATAATTACCTATTTGTTTTAAGGACACTCAAAGAAGGGTAAATGTTGAAATTTCATTCCGCTTTTTTAAAACTACATTAAAGTATTCTCATTATCAAAAACATTTACTTACCCGTCCACGGTAAGTATACTGACCAACTGTTCAAAGGACGTCTCGGTTGAACTGAAAAATAAACAAATAAATTCTATTATAAATAGAATTTTAAAAACTTGAAATTAATTTGCGCAAATATTAAACATACGGAACAATTTAGGCAACATGATCAGTTACTTCTATTAACACGTTCCAATAGGTATTAGAATGCGATAGTAATAAGGTAAACTGATATTTTCGGTTTGTTTAATTTTATGAACCATGATTTATTCAAAGTTTTGAATAAAGTGAAAAGAACATGATTCGAACAATCACATGATTCATTATATTTTGAGGCTTCACACTAGCCCCCAACGGTCTAAAGTTATGAATAGTTATACTGTTATGTATAAATTTTAAAGTACCCTATCAATGTAGATAAGCTTGAAATAATTTCACAGCTTGTTATAAATACAAGAAGGCTTGGTTTAGTAATAAGAGTATCTCAAATTATGGTCGATAGATGTTTTTTCATATATCAATTTATAATCTTTGCACTAAAACATTTGACTGGTTATGTATTAAAGTACAGAAACATGTGATTGACAGTCAAGAGGATTTATGCAAAATTCCATGTAGGTTTGATGATAGTTTTTCACAATGGAATATGATGAAAAACTCTTTGTCGGTACTAAAGTTAATAGTTATTATAACAAAAAGTACTATTTATTTTATGTCAAGAAGTTTATCTGCTACATTTCATAACTTAGAAGTCAAAAACCGTTCTAAGATTATCGTTAAGATTATTTAGAATAGATGAATTGGGGCTAGCAACAGTATTCAGGATCCGCGTTTCCTTCAATTTGGTGCATGTCAGTTGAATTTTTACATGTTTTTCAGTGTTGATGTTCAGCCTGGTACTTGATTGGATTATTTTGATGCTTGGACAGGGGATATCATGAGTGGTTGGTTTTTAGTATTTATTTAAAGTATACAGGTTATAATGAATGCAGTAGGTAATCTTCAATTTCCCAAAGGATCCTACTAAAAGAAGTATCCCTCAAAGTTAATACTTCATGGGGAGTTAAAATTATTTAATTATGTATCATTCTAAAAATATTATCTTACCTACTTCTTAGTCACTTTTATTGCATATCAAATAATTTATAGCGTGTTAAAGGTCACACAGTCAAACGCATTCTTCTACAGTTTAACACTTGGTCAAAAATAAAACATGAATGGTTACCTGGACTCTATTTCAATATACATGTGGATAATTATAATCACGCACCAAAAATGTTTTTTACTCAGTTATTAAAATTATAACTCCGCCTGTAGCTCTTATAGGGTTGCTGCCGGTCCCAAGCCCGGGTAAAGGAGGAGGGTTGGGCATGCGGTTAGCGTCCCCATCCCGTAGAAAACTAACTCGCTAAAAAAACGCTTACCAGAAAAAATAATCCAAACCATTTTAACTCTGCCCTAGGAGTTAGAAGGTCTTCATTTAGAAGAATTATGACGCTTCATGGTGAAAGCCGAGTTCCTTCGGAAGCCACGAGGCCGATGCCCCTTCTAACAACCAGAGCAAAAATTTTTATAGGTACATGGAACGTTCGAACAATGTGGGAGACCGGGAAGACCAGTCAAATAGCAATGGAAATGAGGAGATACAACTTAGCAGTACTGGGAATCAGCGAAACCCACTGGACCCAAACTGGACAGAAAAGGCTAGCTACGGGAGAGATGCTGCTATACTCCGGTCACGAAGAGGAAAATGCTCCACACACTCAGGGAGTCGCTCTTATGCTGTCCAAAGTAGCACGAAATGCACTTGTAGGATGGGAATCTCATGGATCCAGAATCATCAAAGCATCATTCAAAACAAAGAAGGAGGGGATCACAATGAATATTATCCAATGTTATGCACCCACCAATGATAGCAACGACGAAATTAAAGATCAGTTCTACGAGCGGCTGCAGTCAATCATTGAGAAATGCCCAAGAAAGGACCTAACTATTCTGATGGGAGATCTAAATGCCAAAGTCGGAATAGACAACACTGGATATGAAGATATTATGGGACGACATGGACTGGGAGAAAGAAACGAAAATGGAGAAAGATTTGCAAATCTGTGTGCATTCAACAAATTGGTCATAGGAGGCACAATATTTCCACACAAGCGTATACACAAGGCTACATGGATCTCACCGGACCACACTACAGAGAACCAAATAGATCATATTTGCATCAACAAAAAATTCCGAAGGACAATGGAAGATGTGAGAACCAGGAGAGGTGCTGACGTAGCTTCAGACCACCACCTAGTTGTAGCCAATTTGAAACTGAAGCTAAAAAAGAACTGGACAAGTGGACAAACAGCAATACAAAGGTTCAATACAGCCTTCCTTCGAGATACTGTCAAACTCAATGAATTCAAGATAGCTCTCAACAACAGGTTCCAAGCCTTACAAGATCTACTGAAAGAAGAAGAAACTACTATGGAGGACAACTGGAAAGGCATCAAGGAAGCATTAACTTCAACGTGTCAAGAGGTTCTCGGTCTAAATAAATACCATCATAAGGAATGGATTTCTACAGAAACACTGGACAAGATCAAAGAAAGGAAGAACAAGAAGGCAGCAATAAACAACAGCCGAACACGAGCAGAGAAAGTCCAAGCACAAGCTGAATACATAGAAGCAAACAAGCAAGGGAAGAGAAGCATTAGAGCCGACAAGCAGAAATACGTGGAAGAACTAGCAACGACGGCAGAAAAAGCTGCTAGAGAAGGAAATATGAAACAGCTTTACGATACAACGAAGAAACTATCAGGGAAATACAGTAAACCAGAGAGGCCGGTCAAAGACAAAGAAGGCAAGCCAATCACCGAAATTCAACAACAGCGTAACAGATGGGTAGAATACTTCGAAGAGCTCCTGAATAGGCCGGCTCCAATGAATCCACCGAACATCGAAGCAGCACACATAGATCTTCCTATAGATGTCAATCCACCAACTACGGAAGAAATTAGAATGGCCGTCAGACAAATCAAGACCGGGAAAGCAGCGGGACCCGACAACATACCAGCTGAAGCACTGAAATCAGACATCGAAGCAACCACAAGCATGCTTTATCTTCTATTCAAAAAGATTTGGGAGGAGGAACAAGTGCCGATGGACTGGAAAGAAGGACACCTCGTCAAGATTCCAAAGAAAGGAGATCTGAGCAAATGTGAAAACTACAGAGGCATAACACTACTGTCAATACCAGGGAAAGTCTTCAACAGATTGTTGCTGAACCGGATGAAAGACGCAGTAGACTTTCAACTCCGAGATCAACAAGCTGGATTCCGTAAGGATCGGTCGTGCACAGATCAAATTGCAACACTACGGACCATCGTCGAACAATCAGTTGAGTGGAACTCATCACTATACATCAACTTCATCGATTATGAAAAGGCATTCGACGGTGTAGATAGGAAGACATTATGGAAACTTCTTCGACACTACGGAGTTCCTGAGAAGATTGTCAATATTATCCGGAACTCATACGACGGACTACAGTGCAAAGTAGTGCATGGAGAACAGCTGACAGATGCGTTCCAAGTAAGGACCGGAGTCAGACAAGGCTGTTTACTCTCTCCCTTCCTCTTTCTTCTGGTGGTCGACTGGATTATGAAGACCTCAACATCTGAAGGAAAACACGGAATACAATGGACAGCTCAGAACCAATTAGAAGATTTGGACTTCGCAGATGACCTAGCCCTCCTATCACGTACACACGAACAGATGCAGATAAAGACAGCCAGTGTAGCAGCAGTCTCTGCATCAGTAGGCCTCAGCATACACAAAGGGAAAACTAAGGTCCTCAAATTCAAAGCGGAGAACAGCAATCCAATCACACTTGATGGCGAAACTCTGGAAGATGTAGAGTCCTTCACATACCTGGGAAGCATCATCGATGAACAAGGAGGATCCGATGCAGACGTAAAGGCGAGGATCGGCAAAGCAAGGGCCGCTTTCCTACAATTGAAGAACATATGGAACTCAAAACAACTTTCAACCAATATCAAAGTAAGAATCTTCAATACGAACGTCAAGGCAGTTCTACTGTATGGAGCTGAAACTTGGAGAACTACAACAACCACAATCAAGAAAGTACAAGTATTTATAAATAGCTGTCTACGCAAGATACTCAACATCCATTGGCCGGATACCATCAGCAATAGCCTTCTGTGGGAGAGAACAAACCAACTTCCAGCTGAAGAAGAAATTAGGAAAAGACGATGGAAATGGATAGGACATACATTACGCAAATCGTCGAACTGCATCACGAGGCAAGCCCTAACTTGGAATCCTGAAGGGAAGCGAAAAAGAGGAAGGCCAAAGAACACATTGCGTCGGATAATAGAAGCAGATATGAAAACGATGAATTACAACTGGACGGAGCTAGAAAGGATTGCCCAGGACAGGGTTGGATGGAGAATGCTGGTGAGTGGCTTATGCTCCTTCACGAGGAGTAACAGGCGTAAGTAAGTAAGTAAGTATTAAAATTATAAAACAAATCCACTTTAAATCTATATAGAAATTATATATTTATAATTTATATACAAGTAAACCTTGAACATTGTATAAAAAAAAGAAAAACCCCTGGGATTTATTTCTCTATAATAACAACTGCTATCTGCTTGTTTATACAAGTTTTTAAGTTGTATAGCATATTATTCACTTTTTATTTTTTATTATCATATCTTAATGAATTAGTAGTCTCTGTAATCTTTAGTTACATACTTGATTTATTCTTACATCGAATGTTTAAAATTTCAGTGTTATTGTATGATTGTCTATAGTCTTTTTTTATCTCAGTGTTTACACTATATTCTGAATTGCATTCCATTTATAGAGACAACTCATTATTATTTCGTTGTTAATTTTCTTTACATTTTCATTTGTGCTTAAATAATCGTTCGTTGCGTAGTAATTAGTAAACTATTTAATCACTATACTCATTATTATGATTAAAAGATAAAGTCAAACAATAACCATTATTACGAGTAGTTTCTTTATTGAATAGCCTTTCGTTACAAATCGATGCTAACATTTCCATTATATTTCTGACAAAAATTAAGTTGTATTGAATTTGGCTTAAACCTTATCATTTTTTAGAATCAATCTTTAACAGGAATTATGAAAAAGGCTGTTTCAGTCAGAATACAGAATCGTTTCACATGCTGACCGATATACATATATATATATAACTGCTCACGTTTATTGTTAAAAAACATTTTATTTGTTTTCCACGATAAATATGACGCGTCAAACTTCTTTACCAATCATTCCATATACAATTTGAATTTAGGAACCCCACATAACTATTACAGACATGATTCGCATTCATCAGTACTTGAGTTTTTTATGAAGATAGAATGACTGACATGAGACGCGATTTCAGTAAGCATAAACATTAGCAAGTACCATGTACACCGAATCACAATAAATTTAATAGGAATTAGATAACAGTTCCTTAAAGAAAGGAAATTACATCATCCATGCACGCTATATTAATTGAGGTTTCATAATAAACAGATTTACAATAATATGTATTAAAATGACTGTTTAAACTGGTTTACGTATTGTCTAATATATTTAACCAAATTAAAACTTAGAAAACATTTATTTGGCAGTAAAAACCTAATTGCTTCTAATTCCAATAACCGTTCAATAGAAAAAGTAATATTGAATAAAGCCATTAATAATAATAATAAAATAATAATAAAAATAATTGTTCTCCAGTTTACATTAATATACTAATATAAAAAAGAAATTTTCGTAAATTACAGAGACAAGAACGTACCATATGTATAATTACGAACAGGTGGACAACCAATTTCATCAGTTCCCCCATCAAAGCAATCATCTGCTTGATCACAGCGCATTTGACCGTAAACACAAACAGCAGTTTGATTTCCACACCAGAATCCAGAGCCTACTTCACATCGACGCATTTCTAAGAATATAATATTACGGAAGCGGGAAGTTAATTGTTCGGAAAAAAAACAAAACAAAGAATTTATTTTAATTACATCGCTTTTTTCTTGCACATGTGTGCGCAACGCTAATCAACTAGGTCCAAAAAATCAAAGCTAATTTTTGAACAACATGGAAGGAAGGAAATGATACTTTTCAGTTTTGTTATGACTTTAGGTTGCTGTCGATTTTTATCCTGTGCTAGTTGTTGTGTCCTTGAATGGAAAATTAGAGAGCAGCGTACTTATCGATCGACTACAGTGACACGTAAACACGAACGAACGGCCTACAGTTCTGATTGGTTCTGCTTCCCTGTCCAGCCCAGCCAGTTGAGTCCAGAACACAAGCCACAGCCTCGGAGATATGAATCATTATATTTCAAACATACTTTGTTTATATACCAATCAAGCATACCACATCGTACCATAAAATAGAAAACAACATTTTGTACAATATTCAACGAGTGAACAGATACCGACCAATAGAAAGTGTCCATTTAAAGTCCAAGGACACCATTGGACTTAACATCATAATTATTGGTCTATTCCTCTGCATCCACAACAAGTTTTCTCTCGTAATTATCAAAAGCTTATTATTTAATTCAGTCAGTAGTTAACTATAATAAACGATGGTCAGTTAATTTAGAATTGAAATTGTATCCTTGGAGAAACGAAGGACATTTTTCACGTTTTCTATGCATTTAGAAAATTAGAAGTCTGTCAGTTGGCAATTAAAACCACAAGGGATTTGAATAAGATGTGAAAATAAAACTTGATATGTGCATCATGAGTCATATCAGTACGCTCTAATAGTGTATCATGAGTACAGGAAGGCAAAAGACAAAGGAATTTGGTTTGCTGTGCTCGGGAGAAAGCCTGTCTTCCTAAGACTTAGCTTCAAGGGTGATGAAGTACCTAGAAAAGTGAAATTTAGATTAGAAGCCATAATAAAAAGAACTTATCCAGCTACCTAGCTGATCCCCTGCATCAAATGAATTGCTCATTAAGACAGTCAGGTGCGGACAAACTTCCACCTTATGTTACCTCCAATCGTATCTACCATTTACTTGTACGTGCCAAAGCACGTACATCGGAAAAAGAGGAAGAAGGGTTGGTGTCCGAGTCACCGAGCACATTCCATAATAGCTTAGACTGAGAAGATAATATGTCTTCAGCAGTGCGATCACTCGCCATCTGCTTGATGGTCATGGTGTTGATGTTCCAAAGTAGTTGAAGACAACTAATAGACAATGAACATCGAATTTACCATAGTTTACCGAAGCGATTATCATCGAAAGACTTAAATCAAATTAATATATCCAGAAAGATACAGTTATCAACATTGTCATGCCGTAGTGAACTCATTTGCAAATGTTTGTTACGCAATTCCTCTTTTCATGACATTAATGATTAATTCCCGCTCTTTATCTGGTTTGTACTTAGTTTTGTTTTGAGAGTTACATTAATAAATTATTTCTGAATAATTGTGTTTCCATGTTCTTAGTTGTTTATTCTATAATACTCTTATCTTTAACCCATAAATACTAACATCAATTAACGTATGAAAACTTCTTATCGTTCTTTCGTACTTGTTGCTCTTTTCATTAGACTTCATTGATGAGAATACTATCGATGTTATGATATAATGTATACTGACTTTTAAAGATTAATACTATTACGTTTAGGTTGTAAGCAGATGATGGGAAACCGCGAAATACAGTGAATTCATAATATTCTGCTACATTAACTATTCTTCCTTTAATCAAATTGATAAATGGAAAAAATCGTATGAAACTTTTAAATTACGATTAATGCTCAAACAACAGCAAACAGTTTTCATCTTCATCCCAAACTACAAATCATCATTACCACAATATTAGTACATATCATTTCATGACATAAAACGTTATGAAATATCAATTGTTGCTACTTAAAGAAAGCACTTTCCAAAGCGTTAAATATAGCAGTACGTATACTGAACAAGTGTAGAAAAGAAAAGCATGTTTCAAAAAAACATTTCATAAGACTCAAACAATGCAGCTAAATTTCGGCCAAGATTTAGTGTTTAGTGATTCTAATTTAACTTGTTAGTAATTAATGCAGTCCTGTAATCAGTTAAATATATTTATGAAGTGCAACTTATATGAGTAATATTTTTTCAGAATTTAAATGTAGTTGTCATGATTTTACGCAGTTGCAAATAGTAGGAAAGATACTGCGGATTCATATTTCATGCTTGTTGGCACTCGTCATCAAGACACCTAGAATCTTGAGGGAACCGATGCTCCTTGCGGGATTTGAACCTAAATCACACAGATTCACAGTTCGAGACGTTACCAATGAACGATTCGGACTGCAAATGATCTCCTTTAGGACTAATGTATTAAGAGTGATATATCACTGTATAGTGTCGATTCTCTCAAAATTGCATGTACGCCGTTCTGATGAGTTTTAATTAGCAGGAAACATAGGGCTAAGTTTTCCTGTCAACCACTTCACATCACCAGGTATCAAAACATAATGCGCGCGACGCCAATCTTACTCATTTGAATTTGACTAGTACCAAGAACTAAACAAACATAACATTGGTTACTACTCAGTTAATAATTAATGTATATAGTCGACATGTATAAGTGAAATCCTCAGTAATTTGCAACGAAATCAGAAAATTAGAGAAGACAATAAGAAACTTGCTTCTTTGTCTATTTTTGGAAAATCCTGAGATCTGACTACGATAGTGGACAAATAAAAACGAAGATTTTATAATACATTTGTTTCGAAATCAGCAAGCCAATTCATTTCATAAATTTTTCTTTTCTCCTACGTTTATACAGAGAACTTTGAAGAAGGCTTGATTCGGAAGTTTATATGTTTAGAACGTTAAATGTCTAAGACATTCATGTATTCATAAGTAATATGATTGTAGTTCTTTAAAAGTGTAAGTTGACAGGGCCACTAAATAATCATTTCAAAAATATGCTTCGTACAAGAATGATTTTGATGCTTTGGAATTTTTCACATCAATTAACAGACAGTTGAGAAAAGCAAAAACTTTCTGTCCAGTCTACAAACCTTAAATTTCAAAGTATCAATAACAATCTATTTTTTCATAAATACTAATCCCGAATCATTAGAAATTTAGATATTTTACTATTTCACAAAATTTATTTTGCTGATAAGTTTAGCTTCCTTCCGCCATCATTCAAAAATTATCACACTTATTCAATCTAGCTAATTTGATAAATACTGTTATATTTCTTCAGAAGCATCAGGAGGGTACTGGAAGTATGAGTTCAGTTATTTTACAACGAAGCCACAAAAGAACACTTAGCTTCAACAGTTGTTTCCTGCAAGTAAATGTTCCTTGACATCACGTTCTATAAAAATACCAAGTTAACGTGTTAGGGTAGCAATATAAATAAGAAGGCAAAGACTTGAAGCTTTCTACTGTGAAATAATATGATTAAACTAAAGTACTGCGCCTAACAAAAACCGCCAAAGTATACAGTTTTTTATTCTATGATTTCAATCTTTAGTTACATTATGAAACATTTTTGATTTGTGCTTCTGAATCAATTCGTTATTATTAAGACCGGTTCGGAATTATGTTTAAGTAAATGGGAATGTATAATGACACTATAAAAACATTCTCAGCAAGATAATCGTCAGACAGTTCTGACCTTGGTCTCTCTTTTTTACAACGGTCATATTATTGACGGTTTAGATAGACTGAAATAAGTTTCATAAACATCTATACCACCACCTCTTGTCTATCTACCAGTGGGTTTTTACATGAATGACATCGTCATCACAAAGATTCAAGAAAATAAGTCAGGAGTAAAGGTAATAACCACCATTAGAAGTCCCATACAGATTAGATTTATTACTTACTATCAGTAAGACTGAAAGTTCCTTCGAATCGCATATATGCTGACATTTGAACATCTAGTTTAGATTTTACATCCTCAATTGAACCGGACTCTGTATGCCAAACCAATGACACAATACGATGCTTTGAATCGATGATTTGCGGAAATGTAAATGTACAGGTTAAATTTAACTCCTTTAATAAAACAATGGTTGAAAAAAAAGAATGTGTCCAGTTCATCAAGTCATTTGAAACTAAAGGTTTAATTTATGTAAGTGAATAAGTGCATAAAACAGTCCGTAAAACTAGTTAAAAAGAAAGAAAAGAACCACTTTAAATCTACTGATAATTAGTCAGTGTTTAATACTTTTGGGACGTCCGCGCATACCAAATTAAAATTGATCACTTGGAAAGATTATTAAGAACCTGCTACTTACTTTGTCCAACCTCAATCAAACCTACCAGTTAAATGTGAAAACTTCCTTAATGACTATGATCATAATTAACTGTTTCTAGGTTTTTCGTGACTAATTTTATATTTTTATTGCCCACTGTCAATGGATTTGAATTAGAGTTGGATTGTTTTTCGCGTGATCAGAAAAAATATTAAATATCCACATTTTAGTTATAAATCCTCATTTGACCTAAATACTAAGACTATATAAATTCTATAAGTTACTGAAAACTACCTAATCCAAAATCTTAAAAGCCTTTGCGATTGAAACCATTTCAACGGCGACGATGGTGGCTGGTAGTGGAATCCAGGACGTGCATTTCGTTCTATTTGGGACTCGTCAGCTGGGCGTACCTGCGTCCCAGGGTTACTTTTCACTCCAGGACTTGAACTCAGTATTATCCTCTTTAAAGGCTATCGCGTCATCCACTTAGCTACTGAATCCAGACGGCTAATAGCTTTTAGCCTATTGCACACATGGTTTCCACTGCTAGCCACCATCATTGCTGCTTATAATGCTAGACTTATGACTATAACGAAGCAATTGGTACAGGATGCACACATGCCAATAAGAGACTGATCAATTGAAGGATTCAAACAACACTATGATTAAAATGTTAACTTTTAAAACAAACATCTGCCTGAATTACAAATGTTTTCCGTCAATTTGTTAGTCATAATATCTTTCGATTCCACTACAACCAGGTTTGTGGAATTATTTTATTATCCTTGTCGATTATCTCTGTTCAAAAGGTCAGTAAATTACAGTTTTATACTTTTGTGAGTACAAAATAAAAAACTAGTAATCCAGTGTGTTAAAAATACTATAAAAAGGCACATTTTTAATAGTTCACTGAATATTATATACTTATTTCCGTTTGGTCACTCATTATACTTTGATACAACAAAATGGAAAATCCAAAACGTAAATGTCAGGAAGTAATGAAATTGGAACAAATATTTCAACAGACATACGCTATTTATAGTAGGGACAAAATTCATTTTCTTCTTAAGAATTGAAATGTTGAACGTAATTGAATCACTAATTCGTTTGAAAAATGATGAAAACCTTGCAAAATGCTAAGATTTATAGAAATTAATTTGTGAGAAAAGTGTAAATTTCTTTAAAATTTACTGTATTTCGTCTAGTAATAATCATAAAAGTGAGTAATCCTATAACTCATTACTTTTCTCCGTTTATTTACTAAGTATAGATATTCATATATTCCGGAGATTTGTTTCTAATGATCATATCATTGATAATAAGTCCATGATATATAGCACTCGATAAGTTGCACATGGTTAGTTGACTGTGGTCAAAGAAAAAACATGATACCTTGTCAAATGAAGTACAATGTTTTTACGAAGATGAAAGTGGATAGAGATGAAATACTTTGGTTGGGTAGATGGAAACCTTGTATCAACAGCAGAATCCATACTTTAGTACAAGAAAAGTAGGCTAATGATTTAACATTTACTTTCAGTTAGTTTGGATTATCAGAAATAGTGAAGTTTAAACCAGGCACTGGATATCTACTGAAACAGTAATTTTGCATAACTCTTTATAGCTAAATATAAATACTTATCCCTGTTAGTCAGTTATCCATTTAAAACAATCTAAAACATGAAACTGTACTAGGCCATCGAATCACATTTTTGCAGCAAGATAAACTTAAAATGATCGACATTAAACCGCTTCAGAAATTTTGTCGACTAAATGAAAATATAGTAAAACTTAAAAATAATACATAAGCATCTTATAAAACGATCATCAAACAAACATTCAACAAAACACTGAACAAATGTAAGTGGAAGTTCTTAATAGAAACAGAATCAAAGGCGTTCGTTGCTTGAAGCAAAATAAAACCAGCATTAAATAATTATTTTCATAAGTCTAAATAATTCATGAAAAGAATGCTTCGAAAATTGTCACTTGAATGAATATTTAGTTAATTACACCCGAATAAAAGCGTCCATAGAAAACGACCAAGGAGTATATTTTAGAAATTACTGTTACTAAATATCACTAGTAATTTATATTATAGTTATTTTTCTGTACATTTCAGGGTACACTGCAGTAAATTATAAAGAAATTTACCCACAATAATGATTGTATGGAGATTTAAAAATGTACCGAGCATTTCCACTTAACATTGTTTTGTTTAGTTCGACAAAACTCTCTATAGACTGAATGTTCTTCGTTAAGTCTGAAACAATTTTTCCGTCTGTTTGCTGAATACAATCCACAAATTAGGCTCCATTTTTGTCAATACGACTTGAATTGCTTTTTAATCGATTTGTCTCCATTGGACAGCATTGCCGGATTTCATCAAGTTATCAATGGACATTTCATAAATGAAGATTTATAAATTTTAGTGTCGAATGTTTCTTCTGCGTTTTATTCTTTATGGTATATTAAAAATGATACTAGGTTAAAAATATCCGGTTGTATAGATTATACCCGCATTCAACCAGTCATACCTTTTAAAGGTTGTTCATATACTGATCGTTTAAAGCTTATCCATTATTATCAGCTTCACTCTCACCTGTTATTTCATGTTTAAGCTTAGATATATAAAACGATTCATTATATGTCGTTGGAAGTTTCCTAATTGATGGTTAAAATAACAAACTCACTGTGGTCTATTATAAAACATTTCTTACTGTTATCAAGCCATGTCACACTCACCCTGGTATTTATTATCAAAGTGCAAACTATTGGACGTTTTATTCTCCGGTTATAGTTCATTATAACACAGAACTGGCCTAAGACATCAGCAGTAAAACTTTATTCTGAGTAAAAAGCAAATTAGTATAGAGTTTTGTAGTTATAACTAACTCGTATTTCATTTTGATACACAAACACCTAGTATGGTTGTATTATATAGATGACGGTTTGCTCAATACTCTACACTACTTTAAACGTTTATTTGAAATTTAAATTGTTGAAATATAATTTCACCATTGACTTAATGCTTGTCGTTTCAGACAGTATTAAGATCACGGCAGCCGTAAAGTGAATTTTGTATGTATACCTAGTGAAGACAAAACTATTTCATTTAGATGAAATACTTTTAAGTTTTAAATTTTAAGTGCAGTAATAGAATTTGGAGAACTTGGAGAACTACAACAACCACTATCAAGAAGGCACAAGTATTTACAAATGGTTGTCCACGCAAGATACTCAACATCCATTGGGCAGATACCATCAGCAACAACCTTTTGTGGGAGAGAACAAACCAGCTTCCAGCTGAAGAAATTAGGAAAAGACGATGGAAATGGATAGGACATACATTACGCAAATCATCAAACTGCATCACGAGGCAAGCCCTGGCTTGGAACCCTGAAGGGAAGCGGAAAAGAGGAAGTCCAAAGAACACATTGCGTCGGGAAATAAAAGCAGATCTGGAAAGGATGAATAACAACTGGAAGGAGCTGGAAAGGATTGCCCAGGACAGGGTTGGATGGCGAATGCTGGTGAGTGGCCTATGCTCCTTCACGAGGAGTAACAGACGTAAGTAAGTAAGTAATTAAGTTCATTATTTCATACCTGTCGGTTTGTGATAATTCGAATTTTTAAATCAGATAGGAACGATATTTATGGCTGAATAATGTGGGTTCATTTATTTTGAGGACTATCTTTAACTCCTTACGACTTATTGACAATATTAATAATTCATTGATAACATTAATAATTCATTGATAATGGTTTATATACTTTCTATTGTATCAATAAAGATTACTGAAAGCCTAAGGAATATTGACAGACTCTTGAAAATTTTCTAACGATCGGATGTTTATATGTTGAGTAATGTAAAGAATCTGAAGAAAAAAAGGTTTAAAACACGCAAAGACAAGTTTCTAAAAAATGAGATAGACTGTAATCATGGTATATTAACATTCTAAAAATTAAATTATATAAAAGAGGTAGAAATTATAAATATTATTGATAAAGCACAAGTACTTATGAGCTAATATAAGTTATGTGTATACATTATTCACCAAAGACATAGGAAACAAAGTCGAATATATGTTGAACATATAATATACCAGGTGAATTCCATACAATTTTCCACAACCAGCAGACAACCAAACGCACAAATAAAGCTTGGTCTGTGATCGATGTTAACGGAAGGTTTTTATCACATACGACCCAAGTCTGTGGACAAAAGTACTTTTCACAATTCACAACTCTGAATAAATTAATAAAAGTTGATCGATAACGTCTGGAAGTTATAACTACACCCTAAATTCTGACATTTTGTCTAAATCTTTTTCAAATATACGGATGTCTAATTCTGAGTAAACCTGGATAGTCATAAAACTAGAATGAAAGGTTAAAAAACGTGGACTAGTTTCTCAAGAAAAACCCATTACCCTAAAGATGGAAATCCTTTCTTAAAACAATATATTATTCATTTTATTTGATCAATACCACATATCACTATTAGATGAATTTAAAGCGTACTCAGTCAATTGCATTCAGACCCAAAAACATGCTACAAGAAGAAATATAGGGAAAAATTCCATTCAAATACTTACATATGGAAGTAAAGTAGGTTGAGTGATTTCTTCGGGTATAAACCCAATAGTCAAAAAATCATTGCAAGAGGTAAAATTAATAGAAACCCGTAGTCTATGGAACCAGTATGATGTATGTCCTTCAGGATAAGAATAATGTAGAAGTCTTCCATTTGGATACACTTTTATCTAGTTTTGTAAGTGAAAAATAAATTGCAAAGTAAACATAAAGGTAGCAAGCACAATCTACATTATGAACAAAATGTGGTAGATAAAACATCCACAAATAGGATCTTAATGTTACTTGTATATGTAAGAAAAATGGTTTTTGACAAGCAATCATTACACCTTGACTACTAAATTTTCAAGGGTAAAAAACGAGGTCAAACCAAAAACTCTACCAAACCAACCTCAGCAAACCTAAGAACATAGATTTTGTAGTATGGTTCAATAGGATAAGTTGTATCCAGTGTTGAAATAACCAAAACTTAGAAGGAAAAATTCGAGGTGATCATTCGTCTTGAGAGAGCTATCAAAGTATATCTAGCAAAGAGTGACTGATATAGTAACAGTATTAGCAGTAAACATCAAATATATGATCCAAGAATATATCTAAAGAAGATTAAAATGAGGAGAACCAAAATAGCTAACAACGTATCATCAATAACTGCAAAGAATATTAACATAAAAGACAAACTTTGAAAATAAGGAGTAAAATAGTGAGATACAAAAGACGTAATGAATTTGAGATTTAGGATTTGAAGGAAGTATAACGAATTCTACTGTTTTACTAATACTCAAATTTGGACCTTGAGATATCAGGCCTTTAAACACTAAATGCGGTCATTATGCTGATTCCAGGTACATGTTTACAATTGAGAACAGCTTTTAGGCCAACAGTTGATAACTGCAGTGGCTGATGAGATGTCCTACTTTGTCCAGCCTAGGACATCTTACAACATGATTTCCGGTTAATCATCACTGCAAATATTGGAAGATTGTAACTGAAAGTGTATTTTGAATAGTTAAACAAATACTAGCCCTGAATTAAAATTATTTGGCCGCTTTCACTGTTATAAAAGCCCCATAAAATTTTATAAAATCCTGAGAAGTCTGAAATACCTTGAAGAGGGGTGCCATTCCCATTTATACAAAGAGTATAAGAATATATTGTTAAACCTCTCCATCAATTGGCATGGATAGTGCATGTTTATCCATTTTAAAAGCAAAATTTTACTACTATCTTCATCTGCTCAACTGTTCAATCAGCTTATACGCTAATTAATGAAAATATACTAATGGTCTCAATAGTGGGTTGATCCTGTACATATAGAGAGAATTATTGTGTGAACAAGAAGCTCCTTTGATTCCATCTGTTTAAGGTGCTTAAATTCTCTAAATTTCCTAATTTAGTAATACATTAACTCAGTATATACTTAATTTAACACTAGTCCGAATAGTCCAATAATATATATAATTAAAACCGCCAGTCTAAAAAAATGAGTGTTGATATTGAGCGATTTTACATCTCACCCAATTCTTTACTGTTAGAAAGTTAATTGAAAAATATGTAGTAGAGCTAAATAATAAAGTTATGCTCACCAACCTTACAAGCATATAACAGATTGTTCCATGACGAATTATATAATCCGGTGACAAAACTCATCTGCCTAGAAAGCGAAAATCTTCTAAAGCCAGAGTGACTCCGGCAGTAATCTGAATTGTCTGGCAATATTACATCTACAGTACCGTTTAAGTTAGTGAATGTACATACATTCCTCGTAGCTTCCGAATACCACAGAGTAAACCTGTAGACTAGTTAAAGCCAGTGGCAATAAACGCATGTCAGAAATCTCATGAAGGCCGACGATAACATAAAATGAACCTGTGTTTTCATGAGGCTTGAAATACCGCTGAAAGTAAATGTATGAACTTTATATGTGTTTGACCCGAAAAACAAACCCCAGACTATATCATTTCTTCAGTCCGTAACATGTAATTTACATAATTTTACGTCGGAGAACTTTTATCTTTCATGTCATTCGCTATTCACGGTATCGACAGAACGTTCATTTCAAACCATAATCAACAGTAACCAAGGCGGATGAACTGGCTCATGGTCACCTGATCACCACGATAGGAATAACCAAGTTAGGTACCAACCTCCAGTTGTGACAAGGATGTGGTCTGGGTAGATAATTCATTCCTGTCCAGTTTGGATAAATTTGACTATCCACATAATTGATTTACAAGCCTTTAATAACTTGTAGCGGTAAATAAATCCCCAAAATAAATAGCACTAAGTTTTCGACATTGGATGCTGACCATATGTTTTAGTGGACTCACCTAGCTGAAGGCGCTCGGTCAGTCATCCGCACCAGATCACGTGTGGTAACGCCGTGCTCAACATCAACCGCAATCGCTAGCCAGATTAGATCAGAGAATTCCGATATATTGGTCATCGCCAAATATACTCTTCCGATCTCCTCGACTCTGTCTTTTGATTTCTCTGGGCGGGAACGAAATATATCAGAAGGTGTTACTGGTAGAAGCGTTGTCAAACACTGAATACCTGTGACATCATCATTGGTGAAACCGACGTGATCTGGTACACCTAATTGCAACTGTGAGTCTGTTCCTTTTTGGGATTTTTATATATCATTGCCTTATTTTTTTTAAACTTTTTTAAACATTGTGATTTTTTTTTCGTGTTTTTTCCTGGATATATATATTTTCCCCTTGTTCATTATCGTACTTCATACTTCATCATGACTGAACAGACACCTAAAGTACTCAAGCTTAAGACTTTGTCCCCGCCTTCGTTTCAACTGATGCCTTTCTGGCCCGACAACATCGAAGCCTGGTTTTGCTACGCAGAAGCCGACTTCTCCGAGCACGGCGTGATCGACACACGTGCACAATTCCTCGCAGTAGTCAAGGCACTACCGCGCGAATTCAACAGGTACGTAACACCTAGTATGTTTACTAGTGATGTTTCCGATCCTTACGAAATCTTAAAACGCTCGATTCTTAAACGAGGAGACCTAACCGATCGACAAAGGTTAGATCAACTCTTCAACAATATCGACCTGCAACATGGTTCTGCGACAGACATGTTGCAACGGATGAGAGAGGTAATAGGCCCAAGAACTTTCGACGAAGGCCTATTCAAACAACTCTTCTTGTCAAAACTTCCCCAACAGGTGCAAGCAGTTCTGGTCTCGTTCCAGAACAACGCCTTAGAAGAGCTAGCTGCATCTGCCGACCGCATTTTAGAAATTACGAAACCTACAACCGAGGTATTTTCAGTCAAAGAAAAACCTCAAACGACTCAGAATGATATAACCGACTTATGTCACACACTCACGCGTTATCTTAGTCTTCGTACCGACCGTAAGAGATCGCGCACACCACGTAGAAGCATTTCACGTAAGCGATCTGTCTCTAGACCACGAGAGACAGATAACCCCGACTGGTGCTGGTATCATAACCAGTATGGAAAGTTTTCCAGAAATTGCAGAAAACCCTGCAATTTTCCCAACACGAAACCGACTGATTCGAAAAACAATTCGGGAAACTTCCAAGCCGGCACGCGTTAACGGAAACCGTAGCCGGCGAACAAAGCCGTCTGTTATTCGTCACAGATGTGACAACGAGAGTTCGTTACCTCGTCGACACTGGCGCAGAAGTTAGCGTTCTCCCAGCAAATCCTAACGACCGACTACACGAATCGACCCTAAACTTACAGGCGGCAAACGGAAAACCGATCGCTACGTATGGCAAAAGGTACGTTTATCTTAACGTGGGTTTACGCAAACCCATCCACTGGATTTTCGTTGTTGCAGATGTTTCTATGCCAATCATTGGTATGGACCTTCTACAACACCACAATCTGATCATCGACACGCGCAAACGGAGGCTAGTAGACGGAGACACTAATTTGTCCGTTTGCGTAACTTCTTTTACTGGTTGTAGAGTATCCCCAGTCACAGTTAAACATATGATAGACCCACTCTATCAACCACTACTCGATAAGTACCCTGGGATACAACAAACTCAACCGAAACTACCGTGTGTAACCAGCAATGTTACACATCACATCACGACTACAGGACCACCTGTATTCTCTAAAGCACGACGACTAGCTCCTGAAAAGCTAAGGTTAGCGAAAAACGAATTCGATCACATGATGGACTTAGGAATCATACGACCGTCAAGTAGCCCATATGCATCTCCGTTGCACATGGTCCCTAAAAAGGACAGCAACGATTGGCGTCCAACTGGTGACTATCGGCGATTGAACGCGAAAACCATTCCCGATCGTTACCCGTTGCCTCACATTCACGATTTGACAGCTACCTTGAAAGGTACAACTGTCTTTTCGAAAATCGACTTGGTTAAAGCGTATAACCAAATCCCTATGGCTACTGACGACATACCGAAAACAGCTATCATAACTCCTTTCGGACTCTATGAATTTTTGCGAATGCCTTTCGGTCTAAGGAATGCTGCTCAAACATTCCAAAGATTCATAGACGACGTTTTTCGAGGTCTCAACTTCGTACACGCGTATGTTGACGACGGTCTAATCGCAAGTCCGGACAGAGAAACACATCTCAAGCATCTGGATCTTGTTTTCGAACGACTTCAAAAACATGGCATAACTGTAAACGTTCAGAAATGCCAATTCGGAACCGACTCGTTAGACTTCCTAGGACACACTATCGATGCTCAAGGCATTCGACCCCTTAGGACCAAAGTGGCGGCCATTCTGGATTACCCAGAACTGACCACCGTCAAGCAATTACGCACGTTTAACGGCCTGGTAAGTTTCTATAGACGTTTCATACCCAAATGCGCATTACTTATGAAACCTCTGACCGACCAACTTCGTGGAAATGCGAAATCCATTAATTTGGACGACACCGCACGAAAAGCATTCTCCACAGTTAAGGAACTGATTGCTAAAGCAACGATGCTCGCACATCAGGACACCCGAGCACCCATTAGCATCGCAGTAGACGCATCCGACTCGGCAATCGGAGGAGTCTTACAACAATGGGTTAACAAGTCCTGGCAACCCTTGGCATTTTTCTCTAGAAGGTTGCTAGACACCGAATCGAGGTACAGCACATTCGGTAGGGAACTCCTAGCTATGTATTGTGCTGTACGGCATTTCCAACACCACATCGAAGGTCGTGAATTCACTCTTTTCACGGACCATAAACCGCTCACTTTCTCGTTAAGCTCTCTTTCTGACAAGTACTCTCCCCGTGAGTCTCGACAACTGGACTACATTTCGCAGTTTACTTCAGATATTCAACACATCTCTGGAGTAAACAATGTAGTTGCAGACGCTTTATCTCGCATAACTTCCTTGAACAGTTTCCAAGGAATCGACCTTCTTAAACTCGCCGAGCTTCAAAAAGAAGACAGTGATCTTCAGCACGAGTTATCGTCCACAACACTTAAACTACGCATCAAACAGATGGGAACAGGTAAGGAAACCTTACTTTGTGACACATCCACAGGTAGGGATCGCCCAATCGTGCCGAAACATTATCGACGCAATGTCTTCAACACATTGCACAAACTTTCGCATCCAGGTGTTCGTGCAACCATCAAGCTTATAGCAGAAAGGTTTTGCTGGCCTGGAATGAATAAAGACGTGAGGGAGTGGGCACGCTCCTGTGTAAGCTGCCAAAAATCTAAGGTTATCGGACACAATAAATGTCCCTTAGGCTCGTTTAAAACTCCCGATGCTCGTTTCGACCATGTTCATCTGGATTTGGTAGGACCTTTACCAGATTCAAATGGATACTCTTATCTCTTAACCTGCGTAGACCGTTTCACTCGATGGCCAGAAGCAGTACCTATCAAGGACATCACTGCTGAAACAGTGGCTCGCACCTTCGTCGAACGATGGGTAGCAAACTTCGGCTGCCCTTCAACCATCACTACAGACCGCGGACGTCAGTTTGAATCCGATCTTTTCCGTCGTCTGACCACGCTTTTAGGAATCACTCGCTTCCGAACGACCGCCTACCATCCACAAGCAAACGGGTTGGTAGAACGTTTTCACCGACAACTGAAAGCTTCGCTATCAGCTGCAAACGTTTCACAGTGGACCGACGCTCTTCCACTCGTCTTACTAGGTATCCGCAATGCAGTGAAAGCTGACATTGGATACACTGCGTCTCAACTCGTTTATGGTACGACACTTCGACTTCCAGGAGAATTCGTGGATCCTTCATCCTCTTCAATGAACATGGATCTAACCTCCTACACGAACAGGCTTACAAACGCAATGCGTTCAGTTAAACCTGCTTCCACTCGACCTCAATCAACTGATGTTTTCGTTCAACCTGACTTACGATATAGTACACACGTTTTCGTTCGTCGAGACTCGCATCGACGACCATTCGAATCAGCATACGAAGGACCCTTCAAAGTTCTTCAACGTGAATCTAAGTACTATATAATCGATAAGAACGGAACCAACGATAGCATCAGTATCGATCGCTTAAAAGCAGCGTATTTAGAAGGAAATCCTATCTACGTGGATTTTCCTTCGGTACAATCGAACGACACGACTCCGACACTTATAATACCTCATCCGACAACCAACACACACGATGATACTTCGACAGTATCCGAAAATAAACTTAAAACGACGCGTTCTGGAAGTAGGGTGAGATTTCCAGAACATTTAAACGACTATTGCACGTAAGGCACTTCTCGACATTTTATATTATTTTTTAAAAAAAAACAATTTTAATATGCTTATATATTTTTATTTCTATTTAAAAAAAAAACAAAACAAAAAAACAATTTTTTTAACGCTATTACGTGTTCATGAGTTTATTTTCCATTTTTTCTCCGCCGACATTGTGTTTTTACGCACATACGAGTGTATTTCGACATGCACTTACATTTTCTTTTTTCTTTTCCAGGACGGCTGGAAAAGAACGATGACGTTTATGAGGATCCGAAATTTTCATTGTACATTTTCTTTTTTTTACTATGTTGTACCTCGGTACCATATAGTAAGGGAAGACGACCAGACGCTGCTATACTTAGTAAGCTATCAGAAGAGTGTTTACCAACGACAAACTCGTTGGGTTTAAACTTCTGGCTGGCCACGTCTTAGGGTCGTCACTGCCCCACTAGGGGGGGAGTGATCTTTAGCGGTAAATAAATCCCCAAAATAAATAGCACTAAGTTTTCGACATTGGATGCTGACCATATGTTTTAGTGGACTCACCTAGCTGAAGGCGCTCGGTCAGTCATCCGCACCAGATCACGTGTGGTAACGCCGTGCTCAACATCAACCGCAATCGCTAGCCAGATTAGATCAGAGAATTCCGATATATTGGTCATCGCCAAATATACTCTTCCGATCTCCTCGACTCTGTCTTTTGATTTCTCTGGGCGGGAACGAAATATATCAGAAGGTGTTACTGGTAGAAGCGTTGTCAAACACTGAATACCTGTGACATCATCAAACTTTTAGTTCTATCCATCCGACACTCTCACCGTAATTTAGGCAAGTACCAATACCGTTTGTTCATTCGCGTTAGGTTAGATTATAGGTGAAACAAGTTTTGTATTTAATCGACGAAACGTAATCGTATTTAACGCATTCGAAAAGATACAGGCGGAAATTACGGAAACGTGGCTCTAAATAAAATGAGGTGTTATGCATCTTTGGTTATCATGAACTGAAACGCTGGCCTGAGCCAGAATACGTGGTTACGTTATAAATTTGGAGCTGAAATGGAGAGAAACGCTTTTTTCTTCAGTCCTGGAAATGTTTGATCCTATAGGCATACATCTTTCTATGTGATGACTTCAATGCTATATAATGGAATGCCATTTTCCTTGCTAAACTGAGTTTCAAAGATCAGATAAATGATCTGTTGACTGCGTCCGTGGGCGAATATTTTCTGACATGTAAATGTCAAGCAAATGTAAATTTAATGATGGATTATAGTAGATCGTTTTCGAACACTGAGGAAGATTTGTCTGAGGAATAACTGCTTGTCAATATTTCTTGTGCATCTAATACACAAAACTCTGTATTATTAATTGATGAGGTTCGACTACACAACGTGATGCGACATTTCCAAAGTGAGCCAAACACATGAAGAAGGCTTCGAAAATACACGGGAGAGCTGTATGCTGTCAGAACACAAATAGATGGAGTATTTGCATGTTCAAGGCACAAACTCAACACAACGTCACTTGTTGCGATAATCCCTACCCAAACAGCGAAAAGTCTTACCGATAACATTCATGACAAAAGCCTAATTTGCCAATCAAGTATAGTTTTCACTTTTTTTTCGCTGGTCTTTTAGCAATTAAAGAGGTAGTGGAACCATAGGTAGACGTGGCTATGAACTTATTTTCCAAGATAACTGATAGGACTCAATTGATTAACTATAAAAATACAAGATATCTTTAGTTAGCTTATTCACAGTGAAACAACGAACTTGAATTTAGTCTAACGAAACTACTTAAGGAAAGTCAAAGTTCATTCAAGTGTGTCTTCTGAGAGTCAATAATAATATTTTTGGAATTCTGTAATCCATCATCATTCGTTAACAAAACTACATCAGTGTTTTAGATCAAGTTAATTTCATCATCTTCTGAGGTGAAATTAAAATTATCCCGCAAATGTATTTTTCCCACTTAAGTCCCACAGAAGCTAACAGTTCGGCAAAATTCTTTGCACATGTTTTGAGGACCATATTTTGATTTTGTGGATATATCGGAACAGAGATTAACTTTCTTACAATATAAATATAACTTGAACGTCACTGGCTTGGTATCTCGGTCGTTAGAGCGGTCACCGAATTCATTAAGTGATTAAAACTTCAATTTATAAATGTTCCGGCATTTGAAGTCAGTGTGTCATGAACTTAATGAGTTAACAAACCATGAAAATCAGGCTGCTAAGACAGTACTTGTAGTACGTAAAGTAGATGAATTTTAAACCTATTGTAATAATATAGAGAAAGGCTATAGGTCTTTTAGTTAGGCGGAATAATACTACATCCAAATCAGACTACTTGTTATTGTAAGCACAACTTGGACGTTGAACGGTTGATGACAAATTATCCAGGAGATTTAAATAATTTAATCTACGGAGTTTACACTTTTGTTGGTCAGCCATCTTTTTTATTTACCTCAGTAATAATAATAATAATTTATTCTCAAATAACAGTTTGTTACATGAGGCATGCCAGTTTACAGGCAAGATCAAATTGATACAATATCCACTGTAGTAAATTGCACAGCTGTGGTAACTTTTCTGACTATCACGGCTATGCCAATTATTACTAGTGGTCCATACTTCACTTATATATATATATATATATATATATATATATATATATAGTTCGCTCAAGTATGACGTAAAACGGAAATCTACCAAACTTGTAGCATTTGTATTGTATTACTATTAATATGAACAAAGAACTTGTACTGTTTACAATTTAGGCAGCTACCGCAGTGTTCCAATATGGCACTTCGGCATATCAATCTGTCCTCTTATTGTCATTTTTCCCCATATCTGAGCGACTTACGGTCAACGAACATCGCATGCAAGAGGGTTTTGTGGACAAAAGTGCCGGCCACACACTTGCTCAAACCTCCGCCCTCCTGAATGCTATACCGCGAGCTTAGCCAATAGACCATATCAGACCGTAGGGCGAATGACCACAGTATTTCCTTACACTGAGTAACTATTCATGATACTGTTGAATAATAAGACTTACAAATTACTAGGGCGCAAACCAATTCGTTACCTAGATGAGTTGACGAAATATGGCTTCAATATATCAAGCATACATACATCAAACGAGCAAAGAGTATCTGACACAAGTGTATTTGATCCTTGTACTATTCATAACTTTTTTTTCCGCCTTAACCGTGTATTCTTATCCGATTTTTGGGAGTACTCTGAGTAGTCTCGTGTTCACAGCTTTGTGGATTGTGTGGCTATTGTCCAATTTCACTACAAGTTGACCACTTTTCCTGCAGTATGCTTTTTGACGAAATCGTATAACTCAGTTTTATTGGCACCATTCATTTTTTTATTTCTGACATTTCCGAATCAATAACCGTGAGGATATAGTACAGTACATTACATGTAAGGTGACTATATTATCTACATTGATTCTACATACCTAGTAAGAAACGCAACTTATAAGGGAACTGTTAATTAATCATAATATTGAACTTACGGTAATAATATTAATAATAATAATAATCTATTCTCAAATAACAGTTTGTTACATGAGGCATGCCAGTTTACAGGCAAGATCAAATTGATACAAATGATACAATATCCACTGTAGTAAATTACACAGCTGGGTTGATAATTTATAAGATATGAATGTAGATGGTTTTAATCAGTATCACAGTTGGCGCGCTTCACGAAAGTTGCGTTGCGAATGTGTAACTGATGGTCAAGGATAGGTCCATTGAAGGTGGGAGCTTCTAAAAGTCACAACCTTATGTCCCTTTGGAATGTCTAAGGCTTTGAGGATAGTGCAGGATAAAATCTTGCGTTCCATATCACAAGGGGGCTGAAAGAGGGAGCAAGTAAAAGAAAACACGAGGGGCAGAGTAGCCAATATTCATGAATGAATGTTTAAGGTATGATTACTCATTCTAATTTTCTTTTATTAAGGTATTTGTTAAGAAAGAGCATTTAATAGGTTAAAGAAAATAAGTGTTAACAAGGTGTGAGTGGACATACAACTGACAAATGGAGGAGATCCAGAAAGGAGTTTAAAGTATGAGATTATGTGTGGTCATAAAATATAGTGCTAAAAACAGTTTTGTGATATACAATTGACTATCTTCCTTTTTTTATCGAAGCTATTGGAGCCCTTTTCATCTTTTTTTGTATTACTATTATTTTTACGGTATCATAGGGTCTTGAGTTGGCTTCATGTATTATCGTATTGTCTAGTTTGCTGATAATAAGATTACTGGGTAGGAAGTGAAACCAACTCAACGTTCGTAACACGGCATTTTGCATAATAAATCACCATTAATACTTTAAGTCCGTAACATCCCACTAAACCATAAGGAACCGTAATTAAACAAAATTAAACTTTCGTGCATGTAGGTAACCGTCTTGCTACTGATAGAAGAAACCAGACTAGTTGTGAATAGGTGTTTATTTAGATCTTCGCGTGGTCACGGTGGAGTGTGGGATTATCTGTTCAGACAAACAAGGCGTCGGTTCGATCAACCTATCTATCAAAAACATCTTAGTTCTGTTTCTGCAGCCGAAGGGAGAGTTATCAACTCGCTCAGTGTTTGACATCAAATAATTAACGACTAACTCCGTCGGCAATTGAGGATAGTCCATGAATGTCTCTCCACTTACTAGTTTGACATCTTGTTTTGTAGCATGTAATTTCTTCTACAACTATCGCGGATGATTTTCTCCGTACTTGCAAGAGAAGGAGTGTAGGAAAGTGAAACAAGAATATCCGAGGAAGTGCTGCGAGTGGGCCACCCAGCACCATGCTGGTGAGGTACGATTTTTCCATGCTCTGTCCGGCTATCAGGTGTCTACTCGCCTACCTCTTGAGTTGCCCTCAAGTAATAAGTAAAAAATCTACTTCGAAGGTAATCATTAAAAACCAATCAAACCTGAAGAACTGCTCCACTGCCTGCATAAATTAATAAGGTACAAAATGGAAATACATAAATATAATTCATAATTGTTCGGCTCCACGCAAGTGATTGGCCTTCAGAACGGATTGGTAGTCTGGGAGGAAATAGACATAGTGTAGACATCTTGTGTTCGAAAAAGTATGAAAAAAAATATACACTTTCGCAATGCATATATTTATATGTGTGAATTTCCTAGAATTTGGACTCCGTACCAAACTTGATCAAATGTATGACTTTGAGTTTATATTAACCGCCTTTTATAACCAGGTGCGTAACCACAGGTGCATAAGAGTACTCTTAAAAATCGGA